ACACACACACACACACACACACACACACACACACACACACACACACACAGGAAGTGGCTCTCAGCTCACTTGACACCAGTGTCCCCTGTGATCATCTCCAAACAAGGACAGAAATACACTTCCTAACATGTACTTTACATAATATTAACATATCTGCTTCAATTAAACAAACAATAGATCTGTAACAAAGGATCAAACTGCCTACTTTGATTCTGTTGAGGTTTGATGTAATGATTATGTTAAATAACATTTGAATGGCCAGTGTGGGAAGAATTGTCAATTTTATTTGATATTCACTTGCAGAAAAGGACACACAAACACGTTAATCACTATCAACATAGCACAGTATTGAAACTGCAGCATGTTTAGACATGCTGTATCATCACCTGCTAGGTAATTCATCAAGCTTTATGTGTCCTGCTGCTGTTGTTACATGAATGTATAGGTGCTACCGCTATGGGTTTAAAGTAAACTTAGTAAAATAAATAAAAACAATGATTAAATTCATTTAAGTGGTAGTGCACAATCATCACCACCACTCATTAAATTCTACTAAAAAAAGCTATTAACAGAATGTGAAGAAACAGCTGCTCTGAGCTCAAGTCATAGAAATCTCTTTATTGTGCTGAAGAGACATCAGGCAAAGTTAAACAAGGGCTGGGCTATACTTTCATGTAATACCATTTATTACCTAAAGATGGCGCAGGAAACAAACTGACCAGTAATAATTTTACCCATTTAACCTTTTATTTAAAAGCAGCCTGAAAGATGACGTCTCCAGAGAGAATATGATAAACAAACTAAAAGAAATATAAAACTTTTTTTAGCATCAGTAAGAGCGAAGCGAACCACTGAGCCATGTGTCAGGGTGCGGGGCGGCAATATGGTAAAGGGTTACCTAGGCAACCAGAGCCTGGAATCTCCAGTAGTGGCAAAGTGATGCAAGAAGAGCGACTCACTTCCAGCACTGGCGCTGAGAAGTGTAGAAGAAAAATAAGAGCTGTAACTGTTTTACTCTGTTCTTTGTTTTACTGTGAAAGCTTTGTTTGTCTGCACACAGGTTAACGTAAATGGGAGTGTATAAGCAGTGACCCTTTGCATGTGCCTCAAGGCGAGCAGAGCAGCTCTGGTTTATGCATCTTGCATCTTTGTTTAGGTCAATCTGGCTTCACTCTGTTAGACTCCAGCCAGCATGCATGCGTGCGTGAGAATCAAGCTTTAAATATTGAATCACTTCTTTGTTCGTGGCCACTCGTTTGCAGACTGTCTTACCTTCTGTGATGAGTTGGTCCCTCTGCAGACATTTCAGTAAATAACATATAAAGACATATAGAGGCTCACAATTTTATTTCTTTCAATTTTCCACCACAAAAAATAACAAATCAAGTATAACAACATTTTCTAAGATTGTGGTGGTTTTTAATTTTATTTTTTATAAGCAGGCGCTTGGATAGATTTACAATAGCAGTTTATATAGTCACAATTATGTATAATATACTTCGTATTTTTTAGATATGTTAATGTGAATTTAGACAGTCCTTCAATCGGACTGTCTAAATTAACTTTAATTAACATTTTCCAGAAAAAAACTGATGAAAAACTAAAAACTCAAAATAGGATTTAGACCTACCTTTTCAGAATTGTCCCACAAACTTAAACTGAAGATTGTCAGCTTTCTCATATATAATGCCTCATCATTATTTAAACATCTTAATATTTTCTCATATAAATTTTCTTGCATAAATTTTTATGTTAAATAACAACGCGTTTTGAAAGCAGCTGTCATGCCATAACTGGAATATGGGAATAAGACAAAAGGTGGAGACTGAGGAGCTCCCGGTGAACAGCGGTGCAGGGAGCAGAGAGGGGGAGGAGGCTGAGCAGAGCAGCGGAGTGCAGCACGCGCAACAGCATCACAGTCGCGCTCGAGGACTATTTAAACAAACCTCTAACCGCCAACCACCCGCTTCTCCCAATTCTCCCTTGTTTCCCGCTCCCTTCCTCCCTTTGCTCTCCTCTTTTCTCTGCTCTCGAAGATGGCTTGTCAGGGGCTCCAAAAAGGGGAAACCCTGGAGTCACTGAAGAGGGAGAGCGAGACTCTGAAGAAGAAGCTGGAGGAGGAGCGAAACAAGCTGAACGACGTGGAGTGTAAGTGATGAATTAAACAAACAGCAAAACGAGCTTCAAGCACTCTGCTTCTCGTTTTCTAATGAAACATTTTCTTATCTGCTTAAAATATGCAGCTGCCAGCTGTTGGACTTGTCTCTGAAATTTTACATGGGGTGGCAAAGGAGAGGTTTTGTGCAGGGGCGTTTCCAGGATTTGTTATTTTAATTGAGGGGCAAAGGATGGGAACCTTAAAAAAAGAGGGGGGGGGGCACTAGATATTTGATCATGAATAAGTCTGGTATAGAAAACACTGGAAATATACGGCTGTTAGTTAAAAGTGCTGGGGAATGAAAAACTTTATTTAATGTTTTTTTTTTCACTTGAATGTTACAACTGCCTTTATATATAATAATCATAATAATTTAGGGCTACAGTCTATGAAGCTGACATGCAGAGGCAACAGTGCGCCTGCAAGGACAAACTCTTTAGCGTTATGCCCACTAATGCTGTAATTTACTGGCAGAGCTAGCAATGATCTAATAACAAGCATATTTGAACTACAAAAACATTACATGACAGCAGTTTTGAAAGCCAAGTTTACTAAATATCTATCTGATAAAAGCATCGCCTATCGACAGTGATGTTCACTGGCAGAGTAAGAGCATCAGATCATTGATATTTAATAACAGGCTAATGCACATTTAAGTGAAATGTACAACAACAGAGCATTAGCAGTTGAGAAATATAAAAAATATCTTTCTTTTTTTAGATAAAGATTATTTTGATTATGAAATTGTTAGAAAAAACAGCAAAATGCACAGATTTCTACATTCATAAAAACCACTTGTTTTGCTAATGTTTTCACTTCCTTTTCACTGGTAAATTGTGCGTGCGTGCGTGCGTGCGTGCGTGCGTGCGTGTGTGTGTGTGTGTGTGTTTCACACCTCAGTGCACCAGGTGGCAGAGAAGGTTGAAGTGTTGAGTGCTCTCTCCATAAAGACCAGACGTGTACTGAAGGGTCACGGGAACAAGGTGCTGTGTATGGACTGGTGCAAAGACAAGCGACGCATGGTCAGCTCATCACAGGTATGCACCTGCTCACACACACACACACACATACATCCATACACAAGATGTAGTATCTAAAGATAAATATTGTGTTGTTTCTATGACACAACAGTGTGTCTGTTATTCTGTGTTGGCCTATTTGTTTTTGTGAGTTTATTTTTCCATTAAAAGACTTCATTTCTCTATCCTAGGACGGAAAAGTGATCGTCTGGGATGCATTCACTCTTAATAAGGTGTGTAAACCTTTATGTGGCGTTTTTGTATGTGTAAGAATTCCTTGAACTTTTAGTGCATTTTTTATTATTCTTGCAAAATTACAAAAAAAACTATGAATTTCATGTCTATGAAATTTGGGAACTTGGAACCATCATGTGCTTTTCCTCTCCTTGCAAATTTCTGGAAAGGAAAAGAGGAACATTTTACGTCAGGGGCTTGCAAAATATGACAATCTGCTGCTGTGAATCTTTCACGCTTCAGTCCAAATTCATGTCAAGTTGCAGCAAAAATTACATTACAGGAACCTTGTCCCAAGTTTAAAAATAACAAGTTTAATTTTTTGAGTAAATATAACATATAATGCATACTGTTACAGCACCATTAATGCTCTTGCATTAATGCTAATGCTCATGTTTTCAGTCTACCTTAATAATTTCCCTCAACATAAAAAAAGATCAGAATCAATCTCCGTCTGTTATGTAAGTCTGAGTGATTTTTCTCTTCCTCTGAATGCTCAGATGCATGTTCCATCACCATATGTGCTGGTGTTGAGGGTGTGAGTGGGCCATCCTATATCCTCAAAGAGAGAGAAAGAGGACTTGACACGACTATATGGAAATATGAATTTAAATATTATCTATCCATCTGTCCCCCATAATCACTCAGTGTATGTGTCCGGCCTTAAATCATAGCCAGGATTCAGCCTTTCTAGCCGTTATGCCTCGTGACGAGGAGGCATAAGTACACTGAATTTAATCCTCATTAATACACACCACATCCAGATTAAACCACAGCTGTGCACAAGCTGCCTTGCTTGTTTTTATGTTAAAAAAGAAGATATGTTTTTTTTTTAACCATAATAACCATTTTTTTTCTTTGCGTATGTGTGTTTATTACGTTCTCTGTTGCCCACAGGAGCATGGAGTTCCCCTGCCGTGCACGTGGGTGCTGGCGTGTGCTTATGCCCCCTCGGGCTGTGCTATAGCATGCGGGTAGGTGGAAAGATCTTTGTGTTTAATCATGAATGGTTATCGGTGACTACTTTGTTGCTGTAACTGGGGTGAAACCCATTACTGAACATTTGCTTTCTCCCAAAGTGGCCTGGATAACAAGTGCTCAGTCATCCCGTTGTCTCTGGACAAAAATGAGAACTTGGCTGCGAAGAAGAAGTCGGTTGCTATGCACACCAACTATGTGTCAGGCTGCTCCTTCACCAACTCTGACATGCAGGTGAGCGGCGCATCAGCTGGTGGAGCTTTTAGGGGATGTGGTCCTCCAGGCTTCTCAAATAGCCAGTAGAAGTACATGGTAGCATATTCAATGCAGCCAACGAGTGCAACAAGGATTTTTCTTTACTTTGAGCCATGATAGCGAGAAAAGCTTTTGTAGCACTGCTAAATATAAAGAAAAAACATGGCATAATTACCCGATCAAGCTGCTCATCGTATGAATGTTTCCCTTCCACCTCCATCCCTCCTTCATTACATCTAATCAGTCTTGTTTTTTCAAGGAATAGTGACGGTTATCTTCTTCATTTTTCTTATAAATACTGGCTTCCATATGTTGAAAGTTAGGGGTCTTTTCTGTACAGGTAGGGAGAGGAAGAGAATCAAAAAGGGAACATGAAGGAGACAACCTGAAATATTTGGCATTAATAATTTACTTCACTTTGGCCCTCGGTGAGGCACAGGAACACAGTGGGAGTGGAGGTAAAATGAGGGCAGGGAAGGAGAGGAGAAAGGAGATGGGTGGCAGGGATGAGGAGGGGCCGGAAAGAGACGAGGGGGGGGGGGGGTATGATCCTCTCTCGTGGGTGTATTAATAGACACTGAGTGGCTTTTATCTAAAGAAGAGTGGAGCACAGTGACTTGAGGGCAGAACATTTAACACAAAAATACACACATGCATGTCGTCTTCCTGTCTGTCGTCTTTTTTCTCCCTTCAACACACTGTCACGCATGCCAGTCTTTATATTTTTTAAGTTCCTGTATATTTTACTGCAGCAGTGTGTAGGAGACTCAATTGAGCAGCTTTAAAATCCCTTAAAGTCTAGATTACATGCTTTGATCGTGTAGTATTTGTGTATATCCGTGTGTTAGCTCAGGTTTTCAGCTGGTGCTGTTGTGTGGTTTCACTGAGTAATAACGAACCAACCATGGAAGTTTTAAGGTCAGGCTGGTGGTGCGTAAAGTGATGCAAAGGCTCTCCGTCAGATCGCTGAGATTTCCATCTGTGTGTGGGAGTAATTGTGGCTTACTGATAATTATATTCGTGTTGAAACTGGAGTTACCGCTTGGTGCAGGCAGGATGTGTGGTGTTTTTTGTGCCTGGGGTCATCCAGCAGGAGCTCTCTAATCCACCAGCCGGCAGGGACCTCAGATGTCTGCATGTGTCTCTAAGTGCCCGTAATCTGTTTTCATTAGAGGATTTGTTGACATTTTGTCTGCTTCTTTGTATTCAGATACATAGTAAGAGTTTTTGTAACAGAGAGGATGTACTCTTCTTCCCCACGTTGCCTGTTTGTATCATATGCAACTCACTTCATGTATTCTGATGACGGTTTCTCGATATTTTGTTTTGTTTTTAATTTTATTTCATTCATGTATTTATTTTTTTAGGTTTTTATTATTAATGTCCTTTTAATGTTTATGTAAAGCCTTTTGATTTGTCTTGTGCATGAACTGTGCTATAGAAAAAAAACCTGCCTTGACTAATAAATAGGCAAAGGTTCCTCTTTAGGTCAGATTTCCTGGCAAATTAACTGACAACCCCTCAGAGCAATCCATCTATAAAAGCAGAATAAAACAAGCCGAACGCTTAATTTAAAAAAAAAGTACTTTATTTGACCATAATTGCGTAATGATTAGGAGCACACTATCTAGTGTATTATCTGTTTCATTTCTACGTAATTGAACTGAGAAGTGAAACCAAGCAGCTAAAAATACTTTTAAAGAAGGAGGAAAAAATCCCAGCAAAGATAAAACCACTAATCATATGTCTGTGTGGGTGTTTAGGGTAAAGAAACCTTCACTTCTCTGAATTAATCAAGTGCTAGAGTTAACAGTCATGTGAAAATGGACGCCTCATGATTCAGTAGTTTTTAGAACCACATTTCGCAGCAAAAAAAAAAATCAAAAATAATCAAGGTGCTGCAAGGACAGCACCTTGATTATTTTATTTTTCAGCCATTCTGCTGTAGATTCGCTGGTGTGCTTGGGATCATTGTTCTGTTGTGTATCCCAGTTTCAACCAAAAAATAGGCTTTCCAAACTATTTTAATATTTCTAAGCTTCCTTTTTGTTTAGTTTCTATGGTCTGGGTTTCACTGGCTTCAAGGTTCTCGATTGGGCAAAGATATTTAAAAACATTTCCCTAAAAAACATTTCTAACCTCAATCAGATATTGGAACGTGCCTTTGTGACGTTTCATGCCATGATTACTTCAATCTGCTTCTCTGAGTTTTTACAGGAACTCTCCAATGCTGTGGAAAGGACTGTATTTATTTCTGACTGCTAACATTTAGTTATATTTCAGTGTTTTATAATATTACACATCAACAATCAGAGCTTTGTGTATAGTTAGAACAGGATGGAAAAAACACACTGACGATGGTGTCATATTTTGGTGTTAAAATTATACTAGCATGTAAAAATACACAATTGTACTACACAATTCACTGAAATATACCTTTGGGTTAAAAAAATTGTTTTGTAAAATGGCAATTGTCTAAATTATTTAGTTCTGCAGTTTGTGCTTTTAGTTGAAGTTTCCATAAAATATGATTGGGTCATAAATGATGCTTATCGTTTTAGCTGCTAAAGTAGTTGGGTTGCTTAAGGGTTAAACAAACAGGCATGAGTGATAAAAAGTGTTGTGTATATAAAGAAGATGCATGGCCTTGCTCTTATATTCATGTATCTCTGTACATTTGTGTCTGCTAGCTCCTGACCTCCAGTGGCGATGGCACATGTGCATTGTGGGATGTGGAGAGCGGGCAGCTGCTGCAGAGTTTCCACGGTCACACAGCTGATGTCCTGTCCCTGGACCTCGCCCCATCTGAGACTGGAAACACTTTTGTCTCTGGGGTGAGAGCGAAAGAGAGAGAGAGAAATATTCTGTGGATTGGTTTGAGATTCATGTGGTCTTCTTCAGGGGAAACCCTGTAATTCACTTCTTTGTGTTTGGTTTTCATTGAACTATGATGAAGAAACTGGGATTTTACTGGAGAACAACAATATTTTCTTTGCGCGCCTGTGTGTGTCTGTTTATCTGTATGTGTGTGTTTGTGTTGTCAGGGCTGTGATATGAAGGCCAATGTGTGGGACATGCGCTCTGGACAGAACATTCAATCTTTCGAGAGCCACGAGTCTGACATCAACTGCGTGAAGTGGGTCCTACTCTTTTAAAAAGCTTAAGTGAATCACAGTTTCTTGATTTTACAAATGAAAAATGGATCATTTCTTTGACAGACATTAAAAAGCTGTAGCCAAAGGGAAGACAGCTGCTGCCTTTTGATGTTGAGAGAAAAACAATTCAACAAAAATAAATATAATAGTTTTAATTTATTTCTGAGACATTATTTTTACATTTTTGTGTTTTCTTATAGATATTTTTTGAGTGTGTGAACAAAAGGAGAGTATTGAGAAACCAACACATTTTTCATTTAGAAGACTTGTTTGTGTTCTTGTGTTGGTCATACAGACTGAGCTCTGTGATGCAGATCATGCACCAAAATAATTTACTTACTTCAAAAGAAAAGCTTAAATTAAAAACAGAATCTGTCAATTTCCTCTTCAATGGAAAATACATCATTACCGCATCATTTCTAAACCTGCTTTTGTCTACTTGTGCATAGGTACTACCCCAGTGGAGATGCATTTGCATCTGCCTCTGATGATGCGACGGTGAGTCCTGTCATGTAACCTGCTCATCTGTTTGTTTCGATGAGCTCATGTCACTCTGTGCCATCGGTGATACAATACGATACGATACCTAAATGACTGTCTCAGTCCTGCGTGGAGCAGTAATATTGAGTCACAGAGCTCCCTCTGATTTATTTTTGGAACATTATTAAGCTTTATTGTGAACTCTGTGATTCGCTTTTTCTTATCAAGGCATTTATAACAACATTAATAGTTTTATTTATTATAAAGGTGCTTTAAAAGCAACGCTACAGAATAGATACATTAAGAGTACAAAACAAGATAAAAATGAGTATAAGCTTAACCTTAAGGATGACATTAAAATAGAAGTAAAAAAACAGAAACATACCAAATGCAGAAAATCAATACAGAACTATCAATAAGAGACTAAAAGCAATGACAACAAAAGACATTGAGATGTTATTGCACTAAAATATTGTACTTTAGTTTGTTTGTTTTTTTCAGTCTCGACACCATGTAGTACTCAAGCCAGACACCTAGAGTTTTAAAAAGCACATTAGTTATTAATAGCTTTATTACCCTTAATAAGGTATTTTTAGGGAAAAAATGTGTAGGTCAGTTTTAAAGTGCATAGTTAACTGTTATTAAATACATTTTTAAAAATGTGGTAATATCATTAAAGTAACAAAAAAACATACAAATCCTGTAAGGATTGTTTGTGATCTTATTATCAGCACTTATTTAGACTTATTAAGATGTAAAATTGTTATTATCGATTAATTACCTTAGTATAAAGACTTATTGTCATCAGTAAAATTCTTTCTAAAACAAACTGGGACTCAAGCTGGGACTGGGATGAAATGATTCCTCCTTAAACCTGGAAAGCGTGAGAGACTTCATGTTTATGGAAGAAAGTAGGACTGCACTGATACTCTGACCTGTGGTTCAAAGCTTACACCTGGATAAAATTGTACAACTACATTAGGTTTTATATTAGCAGACAAGTGGCTGAGACGAAAGGAAAAAGCCATTGATGGGAGAAATTTTCCTTCAGTGCTTTCTGGCAGAAATACCTTAAAGCAGGAAGACTTTAAGACGTCAGGTGAGATAATTTAAAGTGCAACGAGGTCACAATAAAGAGCAGATTGTCCCAGATTAATGGATCCATTTCCCTTGGGAGACTGGAGTTATTGTCTCTGAACAATAGTCGTTGTTGAGATTGTTTTTTTTAAACTTAGCTGACTCATTTTCCAATTTCGAATTTCCTTTTTTTCATCTTTAAGTTGCATTTTGAGGGTTTTTTTTTTTTTGAGACGAAGAAGGTCCTTTTACAAACATTAAACATGTGTTACATTTTTACTAACAGTTGTCCCATGTACATGTACAGAGATGTGTAGTCTGTGTCATGAGACATGTTTAGTTTTATGCTACCTCTCAGGTTGGATTTAGGTTAAGTGTTCATTATTTTTCCTGTCTCCCTGTAATTTGATTGGTCACATTAATTAGGGCGTGGCAGAAACAACGGCAACATCAGTTTAGCTCTAAAAGCAACCTCAGCCTCGTTGCTGTGATTTACTCTGATAATCTGCACTGTAGGCCATTTACTGGAATAACCACCGTGGTATGTTTTTACATACTGGTTGTTTCTATGTTTTCTGGTTTTCCAAAGTGCCGTTTCTATGACTTGAGAGCTGACCGTGAAGTGGCAGTCTACCAGAAGGACAGCATCATATTTGGCGCTTCCACCTGTGACTTCTCTCTGAGCGGTGAGGAGTCAGTCAAACACTCTTTAAATTGCTGTAACAAATGTGTTCAGTACGTTTTGGCTCAAGAAAGCTTGAGAACGCTTTGGTTCTCTGTTCTGTCTCAAATTTAGATTCAAAAGGAATTTCACCTTATAATTTGTGAGTGTCTGCTTCCCTGGTTTTCCCACTTCCTTTTCATCTATGTCTCCACCATATCTTTCTCTTTCTTCCACCCTCAGGCCGTCTGCTCTTCGCTGGTTATAATGACTACGCTATCAATGTATGGGATGTTTTGAAGGGGACTCGTGCCACCATATTGTTTGGTCACGAGAACCGTGTTAGCAGAGTGAGAGTGTCACCTGATGGCACAGCGCTCTGTTCAGCTTCCTGGGATAGCACTTTACGGGTGAGCTGGAGTTTCTCAACAGGATCAAATTATATTTTTGTTTTGGGTAAACAGTAGGCTTGTTTTGGAATTTACTGTGGCTTTTTAATTTAAAAATATACTTCATGTTCCGTTAGTGAATGAGTCATTTTATAAATTCACTAGCCACTTTATTAGGCACACCTTGCTAATACTGGATTGGACATTCGTTTGCTCTCAGAACTTCTTCAATTCTTTGTGAGATGATTAGAGCTTTGTAACATGGTGTGTTATCCTGCTAGAAGTAACCATCAAAAGATGGGTACACTGTAGTTATAAAGAGGTGGACATAGTCAGCAAGAAAACTCAGGTTAAGTTGTGGTGCTTAAATGATATTCAGTTGATAGCGAGGGACACAAAATGTGCCAAGAAAATATCCTAAACACTGTCACACCATCACCAGCAACCTGAACTGTTGAAACGAGTCAGGATGGATCCGTGGTTTCATGTTATTTATGCTAAATTCTGATCGCACCATCTAACAGAAATTAAGACTCATCAAACCAGGCAACATTTTTCCAAGTTTGGTCACCCTTTGTGAATTGTAGCCTCAGTTGCCGGTCCTTAGATGACAGGAGCATTCTCTGTGGTCCTCGGTAGCCCATCTGCTTCAAGGCTCATCATATTCGCCCTCAAAGATACTCTTTTTCAAGTTATTATTTGAGTTAGTGTTAACTTCCTATCAGCTGGAAGTAGTCTGACCATTCTCCTCTGACCTATCAACAAGGGATTTTCACCCAGAAAACCGCTGATCACTGGATATTTTCTCTTCTGGACCTTTCTCAGTAAACAATTGATATGATTCTGTGGAAAGTCCCAATAAATCAGCAGTTTCTGAAATACTCAGACTTAAATCATCTTTCTTCCCCATTCCAGTGCTTGGTCAAAGCATGTCTACATGCCTAAATGTTGCTGCCAGGTGATTGGCCGATTAGATATTAGTTGAATGGATATCTAATAAAATGGCTGGTTAATTTTTTTTTTAAATGTAGCTACAGACATAAAAATTTATGTTTTTAACTCTGCACTTCTGTCTCATGCAGGTTTGGGCCTAGAGTTTTTATCGTGGTAGTTTCCAACAAAGGTATCTACATTTGGTGGCCAATAATCCCAAAGCCCAGCCTGAAATATTAGCACTACTTCAGGTGTGTATTGAAGAAACCTTCAGTCAGCCAAGCCCTCAGATGTCTCTGAATGAAAATATTCAATAATATCTATAAAGTGGATATTTGTTTAAGCAGATGTTGGTATTCCCAGTCTTTGTTATTGTTACCCTGATGACTGATGCTAAATAAATATGTTATTTTTTAACATAGTGTGAAATATGTATTCCTGTAAAGAGCCAAATAACCTTTAGAAATCATCTGCATGATCAAACTTGTGTGTCATACTGCAAACAATATTACCGATTGTCATGTAAATAATGCCCACTGTCACTTTTCTTAAGAAGCTGTAGTTGCACATGCTGTTAAATGTGTTGTGTATATTGTCTCTACTTTTTTGGTATTTTGCTGTAGCTGATGTCATGATTAAACACAAGAAAAGAAATTTGAATAGAACCTCAGTTTTCTTATTTCAAAATGCATATTTTATTGTGGGGAAAATACAAATTTTCATGTAGGCTACAGCCACTTCTACCCTGGCCCCTACTTGACACACAGGATACTATATATATCCTTTTAATGCACTCATGTCTAACCACACTCTGAAGATGCAAATGCAAAAACATATAAGGTTGACCTGATATGGCTTAACAAAGCATACAGCAGCATGTAAAGACTTTTGTAAATCCCCTCATTTTAACTGATTGTGCCTCTCAAGCTGCATTCAACTTCAGCCTCCCGGCATTCAGGATGACCTAGATTCGGTTCCAGTGGCTGAAATTTGCATTTCTTCTGTTCTGGGAAGGGGAGAGATGTAAATAAGCAGAGATCTGACAAATCTTTTATTTCAAGGTTATAATTGGTGAAATCACTGAAGCATTTAAACCCCCAAGTATGATTTTTGGGAAAGTTAGTAGAGAGAAAATGAGAAGGAAGTAGACAGAAGAAAATGCGGTCTTCTTTGGTTCCATTTAGTGGCACTAGGGGGCGTTTACACTGTATCCCAGCAGAAAGAGGGTAGTGCAGCAATGAAAAGCTCAGTAAAACGTTTTTGTTGGCTTTTTTTTGCTTTTTGCTTCTTCTTTTTTTTAATATAAATTAATGAATGATTTCATAACAGTTCCTGAAAGAAAAAGATATTGGTTCCCTGTGCTAAAGATCAGGACAGGATTTTGTTTGAATTCTCAAACCTTGTTGGACCATTTCAGTCGGGTACTTGTTATCACAATTATTCCTACTCACATACCATGCCAGATTGCTTTATAGTACACAATCTGTTTGAATGCACTGATTTATATTGTCTGTTTTATTTACCTTATTTTATTTTTTTCCACATACCAGACATTTTATGATTGTCTGACAATCAGTTAACAGGCACTGAGCTTGTTGAATTACGTAACTGATCCACAGTAAACATAAAACTGTCTGGCTCTGCAGAGGATATGGAGATTAAAAAAAAGATTCGACACTTGACTTTGTTTGTGAATAAGGTGACCATATATCAAAAAAGTAAATGGGAAGCAAAACGTATGCTAGAGGGGGGGTCAAAGCAGGACATTACTAATGCTGACAGGATGTTTGAAATTTTAACATAGTGCTAAATCTTATCTTTAGTGTCATACAAACTGCAAAAACAGCTGGAAAATAACACAAGCTACTGACTAAAAATGTGAAAGCTGTAGTTTTAGCCTAGCACATCTACCCTTTTTAAACAACTCCATCTAAATTGCAATGCTTTTATATCTGGATTTGACCAAAATAAACACCAAAGAATATAATGAACACAGAACAAAACAAATGTTAACCATCTCACCAAAAAAGATACACTAACTTTAGTTACTTTAACTTTAAGTTACTGGTTTGGTATTGGTATGTGAAAGCCAAATATATATTTTATTTTGAATGTAACATTCCTGACTCCCTTGCTAAATAAAACAATAAGCACACATGGAAGCTTTTTTATGGTCTTATATGAGAGTCTTTGTAAAGTTGGGTTTCCTTTCTTATTGGAATCCCAGTTAAAACTGTTAAGTTAAATTTTCATCTGGTGGTTTGTTTGTTTTTTTTTATTATCGAGGCATTTCTAGATTCACACATCTCTTCCTGTTTCTGATATTTGATTTTCATGGACTATGACGATGAAGGGTGAACAATGGTTCTCTGTATGGTAGGGAAACAAATGCTGTAATGCAGGAAGCATGTGCAAAGGTCCACGATGACGTAAAGTGTACATAATTTTAGAAGAAAAAAAAAAAGAACTTTTACGTCAGAACGATAACGTTTAAACAGCATTTTGTAACAGTGACATTATTCCCCTGAAGGAAGCAAACATATTGTTTCCATATAAAATCGCCCTGTGGTAATCTCCTGTGCTTATTAGGAGGGCTCAAATTCTGAGAAATATCAAATGAATCAAAAAGCCCCAAATTTTTATCCATCCCTCCAAGTTTATGCATCAAAGCCTTGCATGGCTTCATTAAATAGCCTAAGAGACAAAGAATAAGCTGATTCTGAGGGCGTCAGGTGGGAGACGCTCACTGACTTTTCATGTCATGACCCTCTACTGTTTGTTCAGTCTCTGACCTCAAAGCATTGTTGATGCCGTTCTTACACGTCTCTGTTTTTTCTAAACAAAGGTCAAAGGTCGGCCACCCTATCCACATCATCACTTTATGTATCTAGCGACATGTTTACCACAATGCCACTAAGTCCAGTCAGTACAGCGGGGGGGGGGGTATTTCTGCTGTAGGAAGGGTAGCATCCAACTTTAATAACATAACAGCTGCATCACTGTGTTTCTGTGACATCGACCTTCTCCGAAAGCCACTAACTTTGCATTTCAGATGATTAAACTTATGTCATAGAAAACATGCACTCTGGGGATTAGGTTGCTCTGTTTTACGTGTGTTTTTTTCAGTTTCGTTGCTAGCCTGCATTCAGATTGTCATAAATTTATAGTGGGAATCACCCAGGGGGAAACACCAGTGTAGACAGAGAAAGGCCGTGATGTAGGGAAGGTGAAACGGAGATTGAAGGACAAGCATACAACAGGTATTACCATGAAGTGAAAGTCCCTAAAATTAACACTGAGTTTATCATCATAGTGATTATATGCATATCCTCTGTATGTTTCACTTCCTCATGCTGTTCATGGATTTGGAACGAGTAACAGATGTCACTGTTTAGTGGCGAAAAAGAAATGTCCATAAACCGCAAGTTTGCTTTCTGAGCCGTGGGAAATGTTAACAATTAACTTAATTAATCCTTGCTATCAAAATTACACCTGTAGATTTACCTGGACTTTTTAAGCCAAAAGACAAACCAAGCTAAGGAAAATGAGTTTTGTGACCTCTGTGTCATCACAGTTTATGATATCCTGGGATTTTTAATGACAGCATAATGAGGGGGTTTGACTAACAGGCAACATTGACTTTTTTTTTTAATGACGGGGACTGCAGCTTCCACGTTTTATGTCAACAAGGGTCCAAAAAGTCCAATGAGACTCGTAACTTCAATTTCATAGGATTTCAGAAATATTATAATATTTTATTTGGTGGAGAGCAGGATTTACCAACTCCTGTTTTCAACCAATGCCGACACTTCAGGAGGCAGAGTACTGAGTGATGCAGAAAGGAATTTTCACAGAATTCTTGAAGGAAAGAAAGACTTCCTGCTGTCAGCAGATGAGATGGAGGAGCTCCAGACATTAGATCAGGAAGGTGAAAGCTCAGAGGACATACCAATTTTTAAAGAGCCTGTGCAGGGATGTCCATTGTTTTTTTTTTTAAACACAATATACGACATCCACCGTCCATTGCATCTAAGAAGCAATGTGTAAGCTATAGGGCGTACACACTGAAGAGAGAACAATATAACATCCTCGACTTCACCAAAAAGTAAAATTGTTAATTTTTTTACTTGCTGATCTCTCTGATAGACATTAAATCCCCTCTGTTAAGTCCCTGCTAGTAAATGATTTAATAATTGAAAGCTACAAGTCAGAAGTCCTGGACTCCCTGAAAATCCATACACTTGATAACCAAATTGCATGTTAAGTATAACAGTTAAAATAAACTATAAATCCACTTTTTTGCTTTTTTTTAAAAAATTTTGTTGACATGTCTTTTACAATTATTAAGTGATATTTTAATCATCAATATACTTTAACAGAAGTCCACAAGTGTTGTGGGACATAACTTGCGGTATATAATTACTGTTCTCTAATGAAACCTATCTAGTTGGGAAACAGAAGAGAAAAAACTTGGAAAAAGGAAGTGACATAAGTCATGTGCTAGTGGCAGTTCTCTGAGGTCAGTTCTCTTTGGCATAGTTTGTAATACTTGGTGTCCAGAAGACATATTAAATTCAGTTTCCTTCCTTTATTTATATAACTACACTTATTTATTTACTTTCAGCTCAACCTTTCTCTGAGAAAACACCAAGACTTACTGATCGCACTGATTTGTAACACTGCTATCTACACACCCTGTTACCATGCACATAAAACATGTATTATACACTTGTGTAAATTATGATAAATAATGCTAGATTATATATATATTCATCCATGTTAATTTGTGCTAGCTTGTTTTCAAACGTTGATATAAAACAAGTTTTATCTAAAACTGAGTATTCAGTATGATGGTAACTTCCTTTAAATTAACGGTCAAGATTATATTAAACTATATTTTTAAACTCTACTTTATAAGGTTCTGTAGTATGGCATCTCAAAAAAATGTCACTTTGATGGTTTATTATTTGAGTTTCTTAACGGACAGCAGAAAATGTTAAAACATAGGGTTAATTAAAAAACAAACAAACAACATTTGAAAGCCTAAATTGTCCCCGAATTGTAGAATGATCCTTTTATGTTCTGATCATGTCAAGTGTTTTCTCGTCTGGTAAAACACAACACCAAACAAGTTAACCATCCAGTTTTGTTTTGTTTTTACAATAACTTTCTACAATGTATTTATGGTCTCCATTTGTGGCAATGTAAATTTAAAAAATACCTAGGCACAAAGACATCTTTCATGACAACTACTTAAAGTAAAACAATGATTTATGGATTATTTGTCACCCTTTTTTGTACCATACCAAACCATGACCACACTTCCGCTGGTTATTCCGTGGCGGTGGTGTCTTCTTTCCACAGTCCACACGACGTTCCCAGCACAAAAATCATGTCGAGAGGCGGAGTCACGCATTCTGCATCAGCTGAAGGGAAGACTCAACTGTACCGACGCTCTCCTTCCGCCGTCTGTATGTGCAGAGAGCAGTCTGATATCGCTGGGAGGGTGAGTCTTTGTTTAATATATTTAAGAAAAACGTGTTTATTTTGCTAATTTGTGTCTTGTTAGAGAGCTACAGGAAAATGTCCACACTGGAGTGTCTTTTTTTGGTCGGTTTAAACCGGCTTTTACTGCGTAGACGTGGCTGTCGTAGCTGAGCTCGCTCTCCGTTCGCGAGCGCTCCTTTGTGTCCTCCATTGCTCTGGTGACAGATCAACGATTACTCAGCGAAGCTAAAGCCAACAACCCGGCCGACGGCTAGCTGCTACAGTAAACGGTCACGTAAAGTGACCCCACTCCCAAACTACAATCTGTTTGATCTGCGTGTCCGTTCGTTACTCTTTAAGTGGAGATAGCTGTGCGTCTTCAGCATCGCTGTGGCTTCCGTTAACAGAAAGCTAAAGCTAAACCGCAGCACAGCCTACGGAAATACTCTGCTAACACCACAGTTTCTCTTTGCCTGCGTTTAACGACACCTGACGCGGAAACCGAAGCCGACTCACAGGTCATAGTGTTTGACTTTTACGCATTTTTATGTCGAGAATGGAAAAACCCTTACGTTAGGTTGGCCGGTGTTAATATGAAAACAGCTGCGGGTGCAAAAGCAAAGCTGATGAAACTAGTTTGAAAGACCGTCTGTTGTTAATCACACGATTAAGGTAGCTGGAGGCGAAAGCTAAAGGATTTTGCCTTCATAATTTTATATTTAGGTTTTATTCAGAGGCTGTAATCAGTTAAGATGACTCTGGGAGATGTCAGCAGCCAGTATTCATTATTTATATGACATCAGTTCAGAGCTAAAAGGCTTTAAAACCGTTTAGTTACTGTAGTACAGAGAGGGAATACAGTACAAAGAAGACAGTTTGGTAATTTGACCATGTCATCGTGGTTGTTTGAGTCATTTTACCATATTTTTTGGTAGCTTTTATACATATTTTTTTAAAGGGAAAAAATGATCGTGTTTGTTTCCCTTTGCCAGAAGGTGAGTGTTAGCACCTTGTTTTAAATGCCGGGAAAAACCAGTGTCACATTTTCACTTTTCAAATGAAGAAGGTACTTTCAGTTGCTTCCATATTTCTCAAGGGAGTTGCCACAGCATGGCAGATCAGATGCCCTTCCTGATATAACCCTCCCAGTTATCCAGGGTTGGGATAACCGTGAGGCTTTGTAGTTGTTAATTATACAGAACCAAACACACAGTTTAGGAAGCAGTCCGCAGATTTACTGATGATAAAACCAGATCATCAGCATTTGTTCTTCATAGTAGTTCAGTGTCTCGATTGGCAAGTTCCTTAAGCTCGTCTTCTTTTCCCCTCACTTGTAGAAAATGAAATTCTGTGGGCTGTGGAAAGAGACCCTGGTTTTGGCCGAGGACTACCTGTCCTTTTGCTGCACGAGTCCACATCAAGCCCCTCCACCTCCCAGCGAATCAGCCGCTGCCATGAGGCGTCTAGGCTGGGACATCGAAAGACAGCACCAAGCTCGCTTCGACAACCTCGCTCAGACCTTCCTGGTGCAGTGTGGACCGGACCACTGCCTCAGCCTCAGAAAGGTGATGAAGGAGCTGGTTGGAGATGGACACTTGAACTGGGGGAGGGTTGTTTCTCTTTTCGCCTTTACTGGAGTGCTGGCCAGAAAGATCCTGGAGCAGAAGCCGGGGCTGGACCCTCGTCAACAGCAGGAACTGGGACAGGAGCCCATGAGCTGCAGAAGGCTGGCAGAGACCATAGCTGATTACCTGGGAGAAGAGAAGAAAGACTGGCTGTTGGATAATGATGGATGGGTAGGTGTTCCCTGAAACTGAGTCAACACAAAAACTGAAGATATGGGAGGCTTTGATTATGTCAAGAGCAAAACAGTGGATTCAAAGTGGTAGTTGTCTGGGGGATTTTTGTGTTTTGTTTTTCTTTGAATTACTGTCACTGGAAATCACCAGTCTGATAGATTGATCTGTTGTTTAGGTTTATGCCATAAGATACAACCAGGGACAAATCTCTTAGATTCTTTCTTGTTTATTACTTTGTTTGGCATCACAATGAGTGTTGAGACTACTGTGATTCTGGGAATTACAAAGTAATTGTAGACAACATGCTGGGGAATTTATGCTAAAACAATAAGATCTCAATAATGGTGGTAGGTAAAAAAAAGTTTGTCTCGCCAAGAAATCTAAAAGATTTTAAAGTGGAGAAAAAGAGTAATTAAGGCAACTTAGAAGGATTAGACTTGGAGGAAAATGAAAAAAAAAAAGAAAAAAAGAAAAATATAAAACATGTTCCAGTAGCAGAAGGTTAGGGTGATCACAGATGATGACTTAGCAGGGTTAAACCTGCTGGGAGGCTGCTTATTTACTGGAAAAACGTGAACTATAATGCCCTCTGGCTGAGTCCCAAAAGCCTCAACTGAACATCAGATGCTGGCTTTTATGAATGGGCTTACCCAACACACACCCACACACACACACCCACACACACACACCCCTCCTTTCTTTGGCTGGCAGCTGGTTTCAACAGACACAGCCAGATGGACTTTTTGTAGTAACAGTCAAAGCTTGTGTGTGTGTGTGTGTGTGTGTGTGTGTTGAGTTTGGCTTTAGCTGTATTGAAAGTTAGCGTGGTATGACTAGAAAAACAAGCAGCTGTCGGGCAGCGAGAACACCTGGAGCTGAGAGCAGGTGCACTCGCTGGTCAGAATGTGTGTCTTCAGTCTGAAAACACGATGGCGAGATGGAAAAATTCAAATTCCAACATACTACTTCTGTTGTTGTACATTTATTTGAGTTTTATACACAAAGATGTACTGATATCAGCCCAAACAATTAAGATGACTTCTACTGATGGCAGTAGCCAATATTTATCATTGTTTATGCCTAAATTTGTTCATAATTAACATAATAGGAATTTAGGGTCGACATTGATACTTAGGCAAAAACAAATCAGCCAATAGATTAAAAATACATATATTTTATACATTTTTTTTATGTCCTCTTTGCTCCTGGGGAAAAAAACAAACAAAAATGAATCGATTTTGAAGACTTTGGCCTTCATACCCTTCAACATTTAGCCAGAACAAAATTGATGCAGCTGGTAAATTTTGTGTCACAAACATCACAAAGCCTCCTGATTCAAGTTGTTCTAGTTTTCACACCTAGTTTTAGTTTTAATGTACCATAACAATCATCATAAAACATTAACAAATGAAATGATGTCGATGGTATTAAAGTTGGATGTCTGACCAGTAAACCAGTGACACGGACGTGCTTTTAAACCCGTATTATGAGCATGGAGTTCATTTTGTAAATTTGGGTAATTAAATCCAGGTGTGCTCAATGGTGTGTGGTTTGGCAGACAGATCTGCACCTTGTTTGTTGTGTCTGCTTTAAAAACATAATGATGAAAACACTCAGCTCGAGGCTTCAGTTTAGGTTTGTTTATATAGCGACAAATCACAACAGCAGTTCCTTTGTACTGTCAGGTAAAGACCCAGCAGTATTGCTCATAACAAGACTTAACAAACCAATTGTTTACAGTGTGGTGGCTACCTCCATCTTTTATATACAGTCTTTGTGTGTGTGTGTGTGGGGGGGGGGTGCAGAGGTGTAGCTGCTTTCTCTAAAACAGTGCATTTGGGGGGGGTAACTGGAAGCAGCACTCGTAATAATACTGAACATGTTGTTTCTGTTTGTCTTCTTGTAGGAAGGCTTCTGTAAGTTCTCCCGCAGTGCCAGAGAAGTGAGCCAGGACTCATCCATGAAGAAAGCGCTGTTTGCTGCCGCCGGTGTCGGCCTTGCTGGGCTTACCTTCCTCTTGGTGCGCTAGCTGGCATTCTCCACACTTGATGCATCCACATATTTTAAAATTCGGCACGATTTCGTAAACGTTGGACAACGTCCGGCGACCACTCTGCAAAAAGGGCCCTCTGTAGTGAAAGAACGTTATTTCACAATGTTACGGTAATGTTTGCACAGTCTCGGAGCCCCTTAAAACTGACATTCGTCGCTTGCCCCTAAAGATTGTAAAACCAATTTGAATGCCTTTGGAAATGTTGCAGTGAGTGAGATCAGTTTACATATCCTGGCTGATGTTTTTTTTTTTTCTTTTTTTTGCAGTGAAGGTAAAAAGCTTCAGATTTTGATTTCATGATCCTCTGTCCCTCTTTTTTTTTTTTTTAAAAATGGTATAGAGGCATTCCAGAGTAAAATGTAAAATTTAATATATTGTATTTATATGAAACCAGTACACTGCAGTCTGCCGTTTGTCCTGAATTCATATGAACTGTATAATTTTTGCAAGATCAGCAACGCTGTTCTGTACTCCCATGCAACGGTGCTAGATAAAACATTTCTTTGTCAACTTACCAAAAAGCAGGGACCATTCTGAATAAAAATAGATTACTCCTGGGAAAAAAATAAAATTCCTCCAAATTATATTTTTACATTGTTTCTAATTTATTTTGCTTTTTTAAATAAAAGTGTTTATTAAATGTTGTCATGTTTTATTTTTTTCCTCCCCTGAATGTCTGTGCCGGAGGTCAGGAGCGTGACAGGGAAATGTAAATGACAGTCCCTCCTTTCATGTGCAGACACATTTTCATAAATAAGATATATCCTGCTGTCTCTCCTGTGCTCCTCCACTTAAACAACAAGGGTTCACAAAAAAATCCATCTGGTGGACGCTCAAACTCAAATCCTGTTGTGCTGCACTAAAAAATGTTTTAGTGCAGCACTGAATAAAGAGAAATTTAAAAAAAAAACCCAACATTTTAGTAAAGTGACTACTCTCTGTATTGTTAGGAGAAAGAAGTAATAGTAATGACCAGAGGGACAGAAGTTGAATCCAGACAGTATAAATAGTTGATTTCACGATCACGTGTAGATGTATAGGTGTACACAAAGGCTTTTTTACTTCATATATGTCATCAATTAAAATGTATAAGTATCCTAATTCAAAGTTAAGCTATACAAAACGAGAGGCTGCTTAGTTGCCATGTTGTGTTCAAAGTAGATGTTCTGGGTGTGACTGTTGCCACTTAGCAGTGAGAGACTGCTGCAAAGTGATGCTCTTATCACTCTAAATAAGGAAGGAAATTGTAGGTTTGCATATTATCAACTTAGATCCTTTATTAATGTTTTGCAGGAAATTACATTGCCAGCTTTCATTGCTTCATCTGTTTACACAACATAATAAGCACATCCACTGTCTTCAAAGCCAGGTTCACAAACACCTGAAGGAATCACTGAACACATGGAGATGATCTGCAATGAGGCTCAAATGTAATTTGACAAAATTAATTCAAATGACATTCATAAGTTAGGTAGATAAGACATCTGGAGATCTTTTCAGGTGTGATATTTGCATCAGGAAGCTATAGCTGTGAAAACCACATGTAATGAAAGAAGCTTTCAGTGCAAAACAAATCATGCAGAGACATCGCAGCAAGTTTAAAGGGTTATCTTATTTTTCAGTTTCATAATAAAGTTTTTTGGACAACACTTATAAGAATTAGCATTACAAAGTGCTTTACAAAAACACCAAAGTGGCAAATAAATAGTTAAATGAAGATTCAGATCTGCAAAAAGGATCAATTATAATATACAAAGCAATTTAAATTTAAAATAGGCCATAGCAAGTGTGACATCAAGAATAAACAGTGTCACTAAATGATCAAGAACAAATTTTAAATAGCCGAAAAATCTAAAACGCTCAGCACAAGTGCACAAGATACTAAATGTGGGTGATTGCAGTTTAAAATAGGAAAAGTGCTTTTAGTGCAAATGTAGATTACAGAAGTGCGTACAAAAAAGAGACGCATGCATTTTAGCAACTGCCTTGTGATCAAAACCACCCCAAGCCACCAAGTGATTAGTTGAGATTCAGAGCACTCACTGGCCAACCAAGTTAGTCATGGTGTCAAAGACACTGCCATCTTATTTCTGCTCTAGTGTGTCTGGGCCATTACCAAATTAGAAGAAGACGGAAAAAAACCCTAACAGAAAAAAACTGAGTCGACTTTAGTGAGGCGGGACCATTGAGCAGATTCCTGCCTCAGGATCTCAGGATGCACGCTGGTTGGTAAAGGAACAACAGCGTCTCAGTGCTAATAGTAGTTCATGAACTCTGCTTTCTGTGGTAATTTGTGTCAAAACTATATTTCCTGCTACAGCAAGAGAAGCGCCAGGTGAAAAAGGGCAATAATTCCTCATGTACAATGTATAAATTGTGCATGTAGAGAGAACGCTCCCGGTAAGGAAAAAACCCCAGAAAATACCTTTTTTTTAAATCTCCACAAACAGACTGAACGATGCCATCTCACAGTAAAATGCGACTGTGATTAAGACAGCAGAAGATAACAAAACTCTGTTTTAGGAATCAAAAACTCAAAGCTTTGTGATGTTGACACAGAAAGCGGGAAAAAGTTATGCCAAAACAATTGGTACGACCAAAGATTGACAAATAAAATCTTAAAATTGAATTTTTATTGCAATACCTCTGAAATGGTAGCAGCAGAAACTGCAAGCCTTGTTTACATATTTCTTAAAACTTAGGTTTGTATAGAAAAGCATGGCCAGGTTTCTGATTCAACAGGAACAGACAATCAACCCCAGTTTGTCATGAAACATGTCTCGTTGCTAAAATGCAGAAGGAGGAGGTAGGAGAATTTGCCCCCCACCAACTCTGTTTATACCAGTAAGGCCCTCTCAAGATTTTAGCAAAACATGCTTTCTGGGTATGATTGTGTTCGTGGGAAACATAAGAAGTTAGAGAAAATGTCAGAGGTCAATTTCTTTTTCTAAACTGTGCGAGGCTTTCTCAGTGTCTAATCTGAAGATCGAAGGCTTTCAAGGGAGCAGAACACGGCCCCTGAAATGGTTTCGTGGGAACTGGGAGTTGGACCAAATGTGACCACTTCATCATGTGACAAAAAAAGCATTATTGCCATGAGAAACAGCAACTTCAACACAGATACAGAATTCACCAAATCCATTTCCCAGGAAGGGAAATCAGGTCAAAGGGCTTGTGGTGGGCTGAGGCCATAGCTATACATAAGCTTTTCTTAGTAAATGAGTGAAAATAGAAAGATGTAAACCACATACACTCCAGATTTCTGGTAAAATCTGGCTGTGTTTGTGAGTACATCCTGCTGTTAACCTAGATACATAACAGCGAGGCAATCATGGAAAGTGTATCAAACCCAAAAATATTAAACTGTGGGTGTGTTACGCTCTCAGGAGATGGAGACCTCCACTGAATTAGCTGTATACTGACTACACAGGGCTAGCGCGGCGTGACAGTTTGACCAGACTGAAACCGAAACTTGGCCTGCACATGAATTGATGGGTTTTTTTTGAATGGCAAATCACTGTACGTTAATTCAAATTAAAATAAAACAAATCTAGAAAAAGTCCCTGTACAATACCCTTAGTGTATTTATTGAAGCCATGCAAAATTTTACCTTCATACCAAGAAATAATTTTCATAATTTTTTTGTAACGTCATAAGAACAGAAGACATCCACATGACATTTTTAAGTATGAAAAAAAAGCTCTGTTAAAACGGCATCCAAATCAGTTTTACGCCATCAACTCTGATGTTGTTCAGAATTATTCTTTAACTGAGAGCATGATTGCATTCAAGAGCAACATTTCACCAGTTTAATCTCTGTGACGCAGTGGAACAGAAACAAGCAGGAACTGCAAACGCCACACAGAAAGACCCCGTGGATTTGAAACAAGGACCTGCTTGCTGTGAGGTAACAGTGCTAACCACCGCGGTGCCCAGTCACGAAAGGTCTCAGTGGATAATTTGAGTGTCGGCCAGCAGATGAGGATACTGCACTGAACACAAGACGACTGTGACACTTTGAGTGGGTGTGTGTATGTGTGTGTGTGTGTGGACTTTTTTTGTGTGTGTGAAAAATGATCCTGCAGGCAAAATAGTCCATTTCTTTCTTGCAGTTGTGCTTATGATTTCCTTTTTTAATGCCTGCATGACTTTTAGAAATATTTTAGTTTAAGATTCTCCTGACCAGTCCATCAAGAACTTATGCCACCATCACTCCTCCAACCTTCTCACAAGGACTTTGCTGTCTGTCTCTCAGTGTCAGATATATCTGCAGCAAGAGTGTCTGAGCGCCAAAGGACACCTTTTGGGGCTTTTGTCAGTCACCAACTCCAGCAAAAGTTGCATCTTTTGCAGCCATGGATTACTTCATGAAGTTGCCCAAGGTCTGATCTGACCTCTACAACACTGCAGAGACTAGAGAAAAAATGCTCAGTGCATCATGGGAAGTACCCCATCATTCTGACGCTAAAGGCAGCAAAACTAAGGGATGGTTCAAGCTCATCTGATCAAGCTCTAACTTTCAGGTTTGATCATAAAAGTACAGATTCCTTTCTCCAGAAACCAAACTTGCCCACATCCTGTAATTCAACACAAAATCTGACTGTATTTGTATTATTTACAGTAATATTTGCCCTGTTGTATTCTGAACTTCATTCATTTTGCACAAGGACAATTATTTATATGGCCATTGTTGTGATATCGCAAGCTCTTTCAACCATCATAATCACTAGGGGAAAAAAATCTGCATTATTCATCTCAGTTTAGAATAACCAGGTCACCAAACACGTATCTGTTTGGACTGTGGGAGAAACCCATCAGGAAAGCTTGCAGACTCCTTGTAGGAACACAGAAGAAGCCCAACCAATCAGCAGGCTGAAGCTTGAAGATGCCTGAAGCTCCCCAAAACTTTGCTTTACTCAACAAGCTTCAGCGTTAAAGAGGTTCCTCCACATTATCGCAGCCATTTAACAGTCAGTAAACATTTACCAGCTAAAGCAGCTTACAGGAGCAATCACAAACAACAGGATCAAAGACGTGGAGAGTTTAGGCTTAACAGAGTGGAACTGGCCAGCAGCAGAGAATGACAGCGTTTATAGAAATCACAGAAAACAGATAAAGACCAACTTGTCTGTTATAAATAAGATGCGGATGTCTCTGCTGAGAGACACACAATTACAGCGTTAACAATAGAGCATTAATGGGGCACCGAAACTCTGCTCTCAGTGTAGTATGTGCATGTTTCTCCGTTACAGCCATGACATACATGCAGTCGCACTGTTTGTGAAACAGAAAACCCTGACCCTCTGATGTGGTTTTGTGCTTCCTGTTGATAGTTTTTTTAGTCTTCCAGTGAACCCGAGCATTCAAGCAGCTGCTTACAAATCCTCAGTTATTATCATGGTCTGTTTATTTTATGGATTATAAGCTACAAAGATTACACAGATGGCGACCTCTATAAGTGCTCTGAAAGTAGACCAAACAGGGCCATGGCTTTGCATTGTTTCAGCTGACTGATGTCCTTTAAAAGATGGTGTCTGGTTATTCTTTCTGTGCATTAAATTTGTTTTTTATAGACAAAATATAAATGATGGGCACGTACTGTGTTACTGCACACAAAACAATCAACACATACTATAAGAAAATAGCTGAAATAAGGTAAAATTGGAGGAAATAATGATATATTTCAGTTTAAAATGTTGTATTTTTCAGGAATTCATTAATGCCTTTTATTCAGTTGTAGTTTATTGTATGTCAGCCTCTCCCAGTTCCACCAAACACCAAATACTCCATCAAGGAAAATAGTTTCCAGCTAATGCGCCTTTTTTTGTTCCTGGTTTTAGAAATGCCTCAACAGGACATAGCTGTTGAATTTCTGAACTGTAGAAACAATAGCAAACAATAGCAAGTTGGAGTGGTTCAGTGACAATAGGAAACACCACATCAATCTGGTGCGTCATTGTGATGCATGTTTAATTAAAGAAAAACTTGCTACACAGCAGAGAGGCGAAGCTTTAGATTTAATCCTTTCACACAGTGGAAAACAAAGACTCCATTTAAACAAATGACAACAGTGAGACTTTACTTTGATAATGCTTCATTTCAGGGTTGAAGGTGTATGATACAATAAGATTTTTAAAAAGTCATAAAATATTTGAATATATATTTGTTTGTTGTATCATATATAAACAAATATATCATATAACACAGCTTGTGTATATTTAGACTAATATCATTTATCAGATATGACAATCAGTTGAGAAAGTTTTTCCTTTCATTACAGTGACTGATAATATTATCCTGCGGATGACATCAGCCCGGGTGTGAAAATCGCTTCAATCGAGCAAATCAGAGATTCAACAGTGATTTCTTTGTTTTTATTTCATTTTTGAAAAAAAGAGCTGCAAACATGAACAAAAAAGTTTGAAACATATTAAATATGTGTCACTAATTCAAAATCTGTCTAAACCTTTAAAAAGATCAGATGACAGTGCACTCACCACACAGGTCTATCAAAATAATAGTCCCATGTGATTTTTTATGCGTGGCAAAGCATAAAACATATACACCACATATTAAAATAAAAAATACCTCCTAGAAAAAAAAGTTCACAAAGTATCTGATGTTGTCTTAGCTTCTTTAAAAATGTTACAATGCAAGGCTCACTAAAAAAAAGAAAGATGAAAAAGAAAAACTATTCGACTCTTGTAACTTCTCTTGCTTATCAGGTAATGTTACAGTGTTTCTCAAACAGTGGGGCAGGGCACTAGGGTGGCCAGTTGAGAGGGGGAGGGGATAAACAGACAGTTTGTGGTAGCACTTAATAATAATGTTGCACTATTAAGCATTATTAAGGTATTAGCAAGTGCTTAATTCATCATTTATGAAGCATTATTTAGTATGCCATTTATAAATACACATATATTATTATGACTGTGATTATTGTCAGCAGTGATGTATGTAGTAGCAGTGTTAGCTATACAAGGGTAACAGTAACAGAAGGATAAACATTTGTGTATATAAATGACATACCAAGGCAGATAATGCTATATAAATGATGAATTTGCTATATTAATGCTTAATAGTGTGACATTATTATAAAGTGTTGCTGAAGTTGCTAATGCTACAAATGCTAATCTGAAGCTTATTTTAAGTCAAATTCAGCTTAGATATTCCTTATTCTTAATGAACGTTAAACTTTTGTGGGATTTGTGGCACAGTAGAAAGAGGTTTGAGACCCACTGGATTAAAAGATGGATGTCACTCTCATGTCTGCACCATCAATATGAAGCTGCAGCTAGCCGCTAGTTAGTTTATCAGCGTAACATAGAGAGGACAGGAAATCACAAAAACATACCACAATCAACATCTTATATTTCATTTGTGTCGAAAGAGTCCATTTGTATCCCATCATTCAGGTTTGTTTGTTTGTTTTTTTCACACAATACCCTGTGAGGCACAAAAGTGATGATCAGATCTTTGTGCACATTTCAAAGATGTGATAAAATGTGTTTGGTTTTTTCAGCTACACTTCAAAACTATTTAAAACTCCCTGCACTTCCTGTTTGCTTGACACATTTACTACATAGCGCTTCAGGAATATATGCAGAGCACCACAGACGACAGGAAGTGTGCAGAGACCACAGCAGCAGATCTGAATTAAAACAGTCTGCGAGTATTTGACAGTGTTCAAAAAACCATTTTGTCACAGCTGACGTGCAGCTCGGAGTTAAAACATGACACTCGTTTATTCCATAAACCGAAGGTTTCTATTAAACAAGCATAATAATCAAGGGGCTAACAAGGACTGCTGTTCACCTGTGTGAGCTATCCTAAGGCAGATACATGAGAGTGACATCAGTCTCCTCATTCACAATTATTCTATTCAAGGCACAGAAACAATGTTTTTGTTTATCTAAAAAGGGAAAATCCAAATGATGAATGTAAACTAAACTTAGATATGTTTCATAACAACCTGCGCTACACAGACCTGATGAGAGCACATCTTCAGGCCAGGGTCAACTGAAAAGCTTCTCCAGTGGCATCGTGCACGCACCACATGCAGTTTTTAGTGTGTGCATTCATAAACAGGAGTGCAGATCAGCAGTCAGGTCCTCTGATGGGCTCCCATCAGCATTTCATCTGCGTGTGCATTCACAGCAAACAAGTTGTCTGATCTGTGACACTTTTAATTAACAAAATGTGTTAATATCCCTTTCTTTGATGCTTATGTTAATTTGTTTGGATAGAGAATAGGGAAACACACAAACAAATAAGAACATCGGTCAAATACAGTCAGTGCAAATACAGCTGGCGTTTCATCCTCCATCCATCCTCCTATTGGGTAGAGCATCTCTGTTTCCAGTTCTTTTTCGTTCCTTTCGTTTTTGGGACCATCGCTCTCACCTTCTCTGTCAGCTGGTTGAACACAAAGATATTTAACATTGATGTGTGGTGAGCTGTCAACGTGCCCCATCAAGTTAGTAATTCAACACATCCTGTTCTAGAAAGCAGGTTTAGTGAGAACTCTGAGTTTGTTAACCCTGATTATGAGAAAAAACCTCTTGGTTTTCAGTTCCAGAAATAACCCATGGGTCAGTTACCACAGTAACAGAGTCTGTGACGCTCGTCTGCTCACTTCAACAAAGCCCGAGTTTCTCTCCAAGCCCTCCCTTCCTGCAGATGACTGACACAGCTTCACTTCCTCAATCATACAGTCGACATCAAAGTTCACACAGCTGGGGGTTCATTTGTGACCCCAGTCGAGTATCTACAAATGCAGCGCTACAGTTGATTTGTCAGCCTACTTTGCCTGCAACATTTTACAGAAGTTGTAACAAAAAGAAAAAGAAAAAAGTTTAGTTTAAATTTTGTTTCATTGTGAGCAAGTTTTTTTAACTAAAGAGTCGGGACGGTTGTGTGTTATTGCAGCTAAAACATAATATACGAGTTGGTTAAATAAAATAAAAACAAAAAAACAATATCATAGAAGAAAACACACTGAAGAGGGAGTTCAGTTAACTGACATCTGATGACCTCACTGTACCCATGATGACGAGCTCTGACACTTCCTGAAATCTTAATGAAAGTGTGGTTTGATAATCATTCAAATAGTTCCAAGTTTTTTCAAGGGCAGCTGCAAAGGCATACACCCTACTTACTAACTTTTAATGCAACTCTATAAGCAGAAATATGACAGAAACTCCTCAGTTCAGGACAAAAACTTGAAGGGTTACGCCCTGTAGGCTTTTAAGGGGTGAAGAGTTCAACAGAAACTACAAAAGGGTGAAGAATTCAAAAAGTCGAAACATAAATATGATAAAATAAAAAGCTATTAGTTTGTTGTTAATCAAATTATTATAAAGTATTATAAGTTTGCAGGCAGCAACAAAGGGCCTCTATTACTGCAATACATAACTCAGAACAATTTTAAAATCTACATTTTTAAAATAAGAAAAAACTACGAGGATTACAGAGATAAATGTGCATTTGTGTGGGTTTTTAAAATCTCTTTTAATAGAAATAAGTCAAAACCATTTCAGAATCTCTCTCATATAGAAACAAAGTAACAAGTGTGATAAATGTGAACAGAACGAGGGATAAAATTAATATTGAGCAGAACGATAGTCGCTAAAAATATTTATATTTAAAGTGCATTGAGTGCGCAAGTAGAGTAGGACAGTGCTATTTACTGTTGACCAAATTAGCTTCTTCCGTTGAGGCTTAACACGCGCAAGTTCACACCTCCACAAACTGTAAACCCAGCTATGTATTTGCTATTTGTTACAGTTAATTTCTTTTTTTAACCAGTCTGTTATCAGCATGAGAACAGAGCAATCATTGTGGACTTGTTTTCATCTTAGAATATAATCGACATCTTTCTGTGGACTGTGAGGCAGCTGTCAAGTGTTATTAGGTTACTCTGCACTCAAACATTTCATCGCTTTAGCAATCACTTAATCTTTGTTAGGGGTTAGGTTAATGTCTCTGCTTAATGTAGACTTTTTCCCTTAATCAGAACAAACATAGACATGTAGAACAAAGCTCTGCTGCCTAAGTGAAAACACATCTTCTAGTTTCTGAAAATGTGCCTCATTATAACACGTGGCTAAAGCCTTCTGCACACATACATGGCTGTTTTGGTAAATGGAGCCTTTTCTACAAGTAGCTTTGGTTCACATCTAAACAGTGTTTTAGATTAGTGAGCTTTTAAAAACCTTCAGAAACCATCTTTGTCTTTTTTATGAGGCCAAACGATGCTGTGCTGTTGTTTCTAGACGTCTGATTGGCCAACACTTCTATACAATTAAGATTATATTGCTGCACTAATCAGTTTATAAAGGGATAAAATGTTCCACCGTCCACAACAGTCCCAAGTTTCTCATGTGGCCCCATGAGAAAATGAATTTCCCACCTCTGATCTAAACAACACTTATCATTTATTGCATTTTAATGCGGACAGATATGTTTTTCAAAAAGAAAGCGCAAAATCAAAATTTTAAAAATAACTCGTGTGCAAGTTGCCTAAGACAAACACTAACCCAATTAATAACTAATGGTTCTGAAGCAATTCTGATCTGCTGTGTCCTCATCTCAGGGTTATTCAATCCAGATTTCAGTGCCAAACTCAGAGTTTGTTTGATAAACCTGCTTTCGTAAACAGAGCCCAGGTACTTCCTTGTTAGAATGACATGCCAAAAGTTGGCTTGAAAACATGTGCCACTAAAAAAAAAAAGGAAGCTAATTTATGTTCATGAAAATCATGTGTTTGTTCAGCTTGAAAAGAAAACTGTACTTAGCTGGCTTTGTTTTTGAACAGCACAGTGTTCAAATTAACATAAATTCAGTTGAAAAAAGGGACACTACAGTCTGAATAAGATGTAGATCTACATTTCACTAACCTCTTCATTATCAGGAAACTCTCCCGTCTTCAGCTTGGAGTAGATTAGCTCACCGTTCACTGACACCTCAAAACTGTCTGCGATGGGGTGAGAAATTCACAAAAATGAAACTGTGTTCATATCATTTCACACACATACTGTCAGCATGACTGCTGGCTAAACTGTTTGTTTTTGTGTGGGGGGAGGATGCCACGTTGAAATACTGATTTATTCCTTCTACCACCAAAATACAGATCTGTGACATGTTTCATGAGTAGGTAGAAATAAGTAAATAATAATAAAAGAAAACTGTATATGTACACTTTTTTTCCCCCGCACGAAACTTAAAAAGCGACAGTGAAATATGTCTGTAATTGAAATGGCATGAGTGGATTTCCACAGACAATGTATGACATAAAAACCAGAGCAGCTTACCGTCTTCTCCTGTGAGTCCTGTTAGTTTCACACCAGGAACCTGCCGGAGGAGACCAGCTAGATCCCGGTAGCGAAAAGCATAACTTCATCCTTTACTGTGCCACAAACCAACAACAAGGGAACATCAACATCAACATTTACCACACCTTTAAGCTCTAGTTTGAAATACAGAAAAAAATAAGCAACATAAATGATAAATGAAATGATGCATTTAAAAACAAAAAATCATCTCAAAGTAAAGCTACATCTTAAAAGCATAATGAATAAGTAGAAAGAAAAGCAAGTGTGCTGATACCGTGTGCACAGAATACATTAGACTTACCAGTATTCAACAGTGACTGTGGCCATGGTTTGCAGCTGCTGAGATGTAAACTCAGTGCTCAGCTTCAAGAAGTGAAACGCCTAGTCACGATCACAGTCGACTATATTAGAAGCAAACCACACCCAGTGGGAGGGTGGATGAGACTTTTTTCTTTCTTTCTTTCATACAGTTTTCAAGTGACTCTCTGTCCTGTAATGACTGCAGCCACACCTGATGTCCGACTTGTGGGGATAAAGGTTCAGCTAAGAATGTAAAAAATGCAAATCTTCCAGTTATCTGCAGTCAAAGTTCTCCTTTCAAGTATCAAATTATGGTACAGGTGAGTGTGACCAGAGGCAGCTACACAGAGGTTTCTCTGTGTGTGGACTTGATAACAAGCAGCCGCTTCTCACCTCAAGAATCTGTGAAAACAGCACAGCTACTGTTTCCTTTTGCAGAATGACAATCAAGTATTTCTATGCCTTTCATCTGCAGGCAGGGCTGCTGGTAGCTTGAGCGCACCAGCAATATTTCAAGAGTAATTTAACCCGTGTTGGTTAGATGTGCATGCTTGGAATATAACTAAATGTCAGGTGGCAGACTTTACCATGGGAACTAATCATTTTCACTTTATCTAGAAAAGGTTACAAAACTGAATTTGGCTTGTTGTATTTCTTAGAGTAGAAATATACTTATGTCAGTAGCTCCAAACACTTACACATTCCCAGTTATTAGTTCAGGACAACTATTTCAATATTCCACTCCTTTTAGTTATGTTTTATAGACACTTTCAGCGGTTTGTCCATTTTTTGGCAACAAACTCCTTTATTCACACTATCAGTTAAAATTTCAACAGGTGGGAACCGCACTCCTGTCAGCTCAGAACAAGAAACTGTGCATTCACATCAAAACTGGACAACACAAGATTGAGAAAACAATATTACTTGGCCCCGTCAGTCTCCATTTCTGCTGCAACATTTAGCGGGTAGGGTCGGATTGTGGTTTACACTACATGAAAGAATACAACCACCTTGTATCACTAGTTCAGGCTGTTGCTGGCATAATGACGCGGGGAGATGTTGTACTTGACACACTTTAAACCTCTTAGCACCAACAGAGCATCACTCAAACACCACAGCCTACCAGAGTATTGTTGATGCCATGTCCATCATTATAACCACAGTGTATCCATCTTCTGATGGCTGCAGAATAACACACGGCACCACAAATCGTCTCAAACTGGTTCCATGAGCATGACGATGAGTTTAGTTTACTCAAATAGTCTCCAGCCGTAACATCTAAGTCTAATAACTTTAGCATCTTTGGGTTTATGTTTTCAGCACCTTATTGACTGTCTCATAAAGAATTAAGGCAGTTCTGAAAGCGAGCCCAACCCTGTACTAGCAAAATGCACCCACTAAATTGGCCATTAATTACATACAATAATTTAATCAGCTTCCACTTCAAGAATTTTAGCTGCTGGCTATAATATTGGCTAATAATTATCCAACGTTTTACTAATTAGCTACATTAACTCTGAAGTCAATACCTTGAGTTAATAATTTATAGCTTATTGCTAATTTTAGACAGCTGTAATAACCGTTAATGTACAATGTTTGCTAACGATTCAGTGTCTCGGATACTATTATATACGAGTTTGAACAGTTTCCATAAGCTAACCTAGCAGTGGCTAATAATTTCCAGCTTTTAATTAACATTTTACTACTCAGCCTTAGCTAACCACTACAGTTGGCTAACCTAAATCTTGTTAATAATTTTCAACTGTTAAGTTATAATTTTAACTAGCGGTTTCACTTTTATTTTTTCGTATTATTGATGACGATCAATTAATATAATTTGTAAATTAATTTTTGCTTTCTGGTTAAGCTGTCACCTTTCTTTTTAGGTTTGATCATAAAATGTTAAGGTTCGTTAAGGTCATTTCTCCATGCACCTGACTGGCCGTCACTAACGGCGATGCATTTAAAGTCCGTTTTAACAAACCATCTGTCTAAACCCTGAATATATTTAATTTGTTTTTTCAGAATAAGCACAAAATCCCCATGTTCATAATTATTTTGGTTGAAAAATAATAATATCATAACTTAGAATAAAAAAAAAAAAGAGCAAAATATTGATGTGTACTTACTGTAAGAGCTGCAGGCAGAAACATAAGAGTTAGAATCTGAATAGAGACCACAAATGTTAACACAATGATTATTTTAAGACTTGGGCGATGTTGCTAAAACTTTAACATTTTATTTGTTTAAAATGATATCCAGTACAAAATGTATACAGTAATACCCTTATGTTTGTCACTTCCCCTGAATAAAATATTTTTATCTGTTCAGCTCATGCCAGGTAACAGTATCTATAAGATACACTAGACTGTAATTTGCTCATACAATAGTTGATGACAAAGATATAGCAATAGTACCTTTGTAACAATAAAAACTATTATCGATATTTTGCTGGACACACTTTCAATACAATAAAATTACATACATTGTTCTGTAAAAGTTGCATTGCAATCTGCCCATACTTTACATGATCTTTAATCGTGTATATGTTTTCAATAACTAAGAGACAAAACGTTTGATACAAGTCTGTAAAAATGATCTGGTGGCAATCCGCCGTGTAGCAGTGACTCGGTTTCAGCAAGCGATCTCTTCTGAAGCTGCTGTAACAGATATACAATGCACTTAGATTTGTTCTTTTTTTTTCTTCTTTTTTTGGTAAAACAAGGCAACTTTTCAGACTTCTTAATAAATAAATCCTTTGCAATGACACTGTACCTGTTGATATATCCAGTTTACATATATATATATATATATATTCATAAAATTGTACAAAATATTTTAAAACCTTCTCCACACCCTTCCCATGTATATACTAAAAAAAAAACAAAGAGTAAGATGGTTGATTTATGTTCACACAGCATTTTGGTGGGTGGGACAGAAAAACATGACACAGTCTGCATGCACCAGTTTCGATTGAAACATAGCTATTCCAGTTCATTGCACCTTCCTGCTCCTTGGCTATGACTATAATGAATCAGGTTAGTGTCTCCTCGCACGCATCACAGCATCAGCCTCATTGATTGGCGGGACTCTTTAACGCCACCCCCGGTGCTCGGAGGTTCTTCTTGTGGGAATGTCACCTTATCTGGTGTGTAGTCGTTCCTCTTCAGATCTGATGAACATGAAAAACGGGAACAAAGTTAAAGTGTGGTCAATAAATCAGAATTCACGCAGGTTAGTGCAGTTCAAAAAGCTTCACAGATAAGTGGCAACCTAATAACAAAACATGTATGCAATAATGTAGAATTTTTTTTTTTTTTAAAGTAGAAATTTAATTGGCTTATAAGCAGAATAAGAGTACATTAAATACATAACAGTTAAAAATCTACGGATGCGTAAATGAAAATAAAGTCTAAATAAAATGAGAATGTAAATAAATATTAATAATATTAATATTATCATCATCAGGTGTGAGGGTTTTAAAAAACAAAAAACAACCATGAGTCAGTGGCCAGTAAGCAACCCTGTTTGTCACTAATTTTATTCTGTTGACGTTATAACGCGCCCAATGAAAGGATGTGTACGCACAAATTGACGTGTGTGGTTTCACAGTAGTATCTTCCGTGGGTGGAGAGGTGATGTAAGGGTTGAAGGTTTGCATGTGCATTTGATTATGGCTGGAACTTGTATGTCTGATATGTGTTTGCTTTTTGTTTATAACCCATTTAGTGTTACATATTCCAGCCCAGAGACTAGGAATGGAAATATGCAAGAAGCTAAATGTGGAACAAAGCATCTTTTTTCTAATGTGAGAACAGCTGTTTTGTGAAATACTGAAAGGTTTAGATACAACTTCTGTGGTAGCTCCTGTGATATTACTGATGACTGTGTGGCAGCAGGGGGTTGGTGTACACCCATTACGATAGCACTCATCCACCTTCCATGATCCACAATGTCTGGCCAGCAGAAAAAAAAAATACTTTATGTCAATAAAATCATGTATCAGCTGGGCTTTGGATTTTTTCTTAGGATTTCCCACCTCAGAAGCAGATCAAGTTAAATTGGACTACAATCCCCTGGACTCCACCTGTAATGGCTCCAGGCCCCACTGTTTGCGAACCACTCATTTCGTGTAAAATTAAAGTGAAAATTAATCTAACTAAAGCAACAATTAAATCTCTCTCACCAGGAAGTTTGAGTTTCCGACAGCAGGAGTTGCAGTGGTGTTTTGTACGGAAGTTTCGAATAGCATCGTCTCCCAGGTTTGCGGGTCCAAATATCATATCGTAAGATCTGCAGCAAGCACGGAGACATCATTTAGGACAAACTGACAGTAATGTTAAAACTGAATTAAATATGAAGACAAATTAGAGCTATTTTGTAAAATACTGTACTATTTAACTTTAACTTGCTAGTTGCTCTTCTTACATTTCCTCTGAGAAAAATAAAGTATTCTAATTCTGAAATAACATCACAGATTAAAAGGGCGACTGATTTATGTGAGAAATGGAGCACTCACCCCTTCTCACCGCTCTTTATAACTGAAGGATCCGTCAAAATCTCCCCGACACCTACAGGAGGCACAAGATTTGTTTCACAGCTGACAGAGTAAAGAAGATGAGAACACCTCAGCTAACTGCTCACGTTTGTCAACTACAAATACAGATATCATCATTTCTAAACGAGCCCTTTGTCTTGAACTCCATAACTGATTATTGATGGATCCATGTACTGAAAGTGATGGATCCTATTGTTAAATAAATGAACTTGACAGTTTTTGAGGCATTGAAAGATGAGTTGTAGTTGTATTAGGTGGGACCCATCACATGTCCTGAGGGTGTGTGAAGACATTTTACCCTGCAAGTCGAGCACCAGTAGCTCTCCCCGGGTGTACTCGTAGGTCCAGTGGCTGAAGGCCAGCATGGTTTCCTCCAGGAGATTGGTGGGGACGATCTCATCACCGTTGTTGTTGTTGAACTTCCTGAACTCGCCGGTAATGCACTCCTCTATAGCGAACCACTGTCCAGCAGAGTGGCAATACAGCAAAAAGACCTCCAGGAACCTGAAAGCATATAGCAGAACAGGCTTCATTCAAAAGCAGTTTGAAGTTGTTGGAAAGTACGCAACAAAATATATCATGCATTAAGTTTTCATTATGGAGACTTGGTATTAGTTGAAAAATGAACTGCATCTAAAGTTAAACAAACCCCCCCCAACATTTCAAATGACAGAAAGTCTTTGGTGCTCCAGGAAACATTAGTTTGCCTTCTTAAAATGCAAATATTAGCACCAGAAATGTGGCAACTGCTTTGCATTTTAATTTGGAAAGCAGCCGAGCCAGGTGAACTGCAATAACACAAGAAATATCAAGCTCACTAAATGGTTGGATCTCAAAAGAATGATATGAAAATACCACCAAATAACTGAATGATGTGACGCTGGTGACTGAACCCATAAAATAAAGCAATATCTATGTTAAAAACATTTTAACAAAGACTTTTAGCCCTCACGGAGCACATCACATGAGAACAACAGGTGCACTGTACAAGAAAGAAAAAGCAAACAGATCAAAAGACGCACACAAACTCTGCTCACTGCCAGTGCAAACGAAACTCTTCCTGTTTTGTGAAAGCACTGCACTGGATTAATATAAGCTGACTTTTATTTTGAAGTGGACTCAGGAAATACTGGTCTGGTTGTTGTTGCTATGACTCATCAGTGGTCATTTTTAGACATTGGTTTGAATTATTGTGACTGATGCGATGACCAGAATGATATCAGATTACACACACTGCGATGGAAAAAGAGGCCGACTGTGGCTTTAATGCTTTAATAAAAAAAAAAAAAAAAAAAAAAAAGAGTTTGTCCAGCTGACCAGAACTGTTAAAGCTGTAACAAACTTTAAAAAAAAGGAAGTGAAATCTTTGACTTTTATGCTTTAAGTCCTGGAAATTGAGGCCTGCAAAATTGATACAGATGAATAGTAAACAAAGGGTTCATTTGCTTAACAAATAAAGGAATGTAGACTGGCCTGTAGTTCAGACTATGACAGTAAATAAGAACAGAGGATGAATATAATGGCTTTATCTAGCCACCATCTTCCAACAGACTATTTTTATTATGTAGATGTACAGGGGTGTTTTTCAGTGGTTGTAAAAGTGTAAATAAAAATTGTCACCATGACGCACGATCAACAAGGCTCATGAATAACTTAAAGTTCATGTCGCAGATGGAAAACTTGAACAAGCTTGTAGTCAAGGTCTCAAAAATATTTGTATGGAAATATAATTAGATTTTTAAAGAACTGATACTAGTACCCAGTGATAACACAGTGACAGACATGCTCATCAAAGTGGATGTAGGATGTTGTACACCCAAGTGAATGACTGACAGAAATAAGAGGAATGGTAGGATATGAAAAATAAAGCCTGAAAGTGGTTCTGTACTTTATGGTTGAATGGGATTTCTGTGTCAGGCACACTCACCTCGGTGAATAGGGGATTGTCTTCGGCCTGATTTGGTTGAAAGCAAATGTCAGTTTCTGAGCAGCTCGTTGTTGTTGAATTTCCTGCAGTGACACAAAGCAGCACTGGATGAAAAGCTTCAAATAACCTTCATAACGCAACGCTACACAAAGCAGTGCATGTGAGGGTTGCCAACAGTGATAAACGAATAAAAATGTTAAAATATTGCCATAAATGACATTATTTTGCTACCCCCAATATGCCAGAGTAATCCACAGGTCAAATTATTTACCCTGAGACAAAGATGGAGCACAGTGTCCTCCTTGTAGATACTCTGCCATGTTTGGACCACCTCAGGAAGGAAGGATTTGACTATATACAGGTGTCCTGGTTTCAGGATGTCGTACTCTGACCAGGTACAGAGCACCTTGAGGGCCCGTCTGAGTCCTCCGCCCATCTCCTCCTTGCTGAGAAACTCTATTTTTGCACAGAGGCCCCGCTGAGCCCAGGAAGACATGCTGTTGTTGATCGTGTTCGGGGAGCTCTCCTCCAGACGGTAAACGGTCACCGGCTCCCCTGAAGGAACACAGAGCAGCGGGTGATGATTACACCTCACACTGTCACGACCTTAAAATAAACAGTAGCTTTAAAACTCATTCATGCAGGCGCATTGGTCTAATAGTGACAGGCGCTTATTTTCGACAGATTTGATTCAATGTGTCTTTAACTACAGTAGCTGCGGGTCGAGCAGCTAGTTAGGCTCTATGCTCATTTTTCCAAATTTTCTAATTGTTTGAGTTTTCACCATAATATTTGTGGATTTTTACTTGAGTCAAATCTTGAGTCAAATCTTTTTGTAAATGGCATAATTTCCATTAATGCAAAGAAAAAAGTACCACTTTAACCGGTAAGGAATTACAGCCATTTTAATATAAAGGCCCAATTTTCAGATGCTAAAAGATCATTGGACAAACTAACATATTCTGACTGTACATGTGTAAAATGTACAGACCACTGTTCCCACTTTGTTTGAAAGTAATACTCTTGCTCTATGTCAATGCACCCTTTTTTTTTGGGTGGGGGGAGCAATCTGGTGCATGAGTTGCAAAAGTTTTGTCAATCTCTGCTACCACTTTAATAGATTTTCACCTGGATAAATAAGGGATGCATATTTGCTACACATTTCTCTTCCCTGTTCTGTATTTGAATACTTTAAGTCACTTTTCGATTGATTATTCTTGGGACATTTATATCAAAGAAGGCAAACAAACAATGTCTTCGGGCTGGACTTTAACTGAAGTCAGTGCAGTTACAAGATGCATCCTCGTCAGGGACTTATCAAACTTATTCTACTGAATGAGTCTGGGTTTTTTCCAACTCGTGCATTGGAAAATTGGCACAGAGCTCCTCTGGGTGTGTCAGTGAGAGCCTGAAAACCCTTTGTTCCACTCTTCCTCTTCCTCTTCCTCATTAGGAGCAGACAAGGGCTCAGGAAACAACACCCAGTAAATCCAGGTGTAACAAAAACTGCAGGTTCTTGAATGCTCTTAGGCCACTTAGAGTTTACATCCACTTCTCTAAGAACCAGTATTTACATTTAGTTTGTACCAGTATCTCCATACAAAGCCAACATGCAGAACAACAAAACCGAGGTAAAAATTCAACTGTAGTGACGGATTGATTAAAAAAAAGAAGAAGAAGGAATCATTAGTTTAGCAATTTGATCACATAAATTTAACAGATATTGATCAACCAACAAGCCTCTGAACAGGACATGGAAATAAATTGATACAGTCTGGTAATGTGAGCCTTGAGGCTCGATGTTTTGTGAAACCTAGTAGTAGTTTTTTATGTGATTATTTTCTTTCACTGGCTGATTTGGGAGAATAATAAAAAAAACAAGAAAACAAAAATAAAACATATTTGGCATTAGCTTAGAGATTAGAATAGGACTAGAGTAATGGTTAAAGGTTAAAAGACCATACAGACTCATTTGGCTGTCGTGCTGCATCCTGGAGGTGTTCATACTGGGACTGTTAACAAATATTCTAGATTTGATTACGGGGGTAAAAAAAAAAAGAAGCATTTCTTTGTGCTCTGAGCAGCACAGACTGGAGCTGGACTTCTGACAGAGAAGCTGTGCGTGTAAAACATATTTAAATGTTCTTTGAAAGAATAGTCAAACGTGATTTGGGCCAACTCTTACAGCTGTTACAGCACTAATTCACATAGAACTTAACCAGATTTTATTTCTGAAATTTGATTAGTAACTGGCAGCATGCCTCTTACCCATATAATACATCTAACTCTACTACATACACTCACAGGCCACTTTATTAGGTTCACGAATAACACCAGCTTGGACTTCCTTTTGCCCCCATTCATTCTTTGAGAGACAGATTCAAAAACAAAGTTGCTCTACTGGATTGAGAGCTGGTGACTGCAGAGACCATCTGAGTACAGTGAATTAATGGTCATGTTCAAGAAACCAGTTTCAGATGATTTGAGCTTTGTGACATGGTGGGTTATCTTGCTGGAGCAACCATCAGCAGATGGGTACACTGTAGGTATAACGAGATGGACGTAGTGACAATCTCGTGACAATCGAGAAGTCAAAATGAACAACACACACAAGTACACTTATTTGCTTCACGATCAAACGACAGCTATTGCTGACCCAGCTGCAGATATAGGGTGAGGAAAAAAAGCACAAACAATACTGAAAGCAGATCTGTGATGTTCCGTCTTGATACTTCCTCATTCTGCAACTGCCTGCATCAAGCTTTCGGCTGGGATTTTCACCTTGTAAAGTACTGTTCTTACCTCTGGGTGGCACAGGGGTGAAGGGGATGCTTTGAGACAGCCGCATCAAGTTGTTCCGCTCCACAGCTACAAGAGGAAAAGTACACATGAACATACACCATGTACAGCAGCAGTAGAGGAGTGAGCTGAAGTAAAAGTGCAGAAAATACTTTGTCTCGGTTACACTTTTCACCTACATTTTAGTACTGATTTTAATAAAAATATTAATAGATACAAACATGGAACAGATCTTACTGTCTAGCATCACCATCTCACCTGAGTACTGGTAGCTTTCAATGGGCTTGAATGGAGAGCCAATAGCTACGGAAAACAGAAAATAATGTGTTTATATTTGTGCAAAACATACCAGCAAGAATGACTCAATGATCTTCGGAATTAATCATTTAAGATGTGTGAATGTGTGTGTGAATGGGTGAATGACTGAATGTAGTGTGAAGCGCTTTGGGGTCCTTAGGGACTAGAAAAGCGCTATACAAATGCAGGCCATTTACCATTTACCGTCCAGACTATCAAACAGACATTTTTACCTCTGACCCTTAGTGCTATTTTATTGATAAAGCTTCTTTGCTGTAAGTCAGGGCTGTCTGATTATAAAAAATCATTATTGTAATTTTTTAGTTAATACTGAGATCATGCTTGTTTAGTCACAGTAATGTAGAACTACAACTTCCTTGCGACTAGAACACAAAAATAAGTGCAGGACATATTTGCAATCAGCTCTTAGTATTAAAAAACTCAACTTAACTAGCTGTCAACTTGTATTCTGGTTATGTTCCTATATAAAAACATGGTCGCCAAGCCGTTAAATCACCATTCTGCAGCAACTAGTTGACTATTTGTGGGGGATTCGCGGTATTATTGGAAATAAACTGCACTGCACTTCATACACTAAAGTGACTTTAACGATGGAAGCTGACTGCGTACGCATGTTTGAAGCGATCATTTTAAGGTTAAGTTCATTGCACACTGTTGTAATACTCTGGGTTGTACCAGAGTCTCCAATATCTGTCTTCAATAATGTCACTGTAGTATTAAGAAAAAGAAACTTTTCTTTGTAATCGTGAATTTTCTTGAACTTTAATTATAATCATTTAAACCTAAATAATTAGTTGTAGTAATCCAAGTAATCCTACCAGAGAGAAGCAACATTTTAAAAAAGGGGAATAATTGCATAACATTATGCAGCTTAATAATTGTTCTATTTTAATTATCTTGTTTTCATAAATCTCCAGAACAACATTTTAAATGATAAGTTTTGGAGATATTAGCTGTATAGATGCCTGCTTTACTCGATTATTGGGAAACTAGATGGAATTTTGTGGCTTATTTTGGTTAACAGATTCAGCTCAGTTGAAATATTTCACATTTAAACCTGCTTTTAAAAAGGTTTGCGTCATGGTTTCTGCAAAGACGCCTTGCTGTTCCTGAGTTTTTCAAATAGTGATTTGAGCACCAGAGAAGTGCCATTTATTTCTATTAAAATCTAATGAAGCCAGACCTGACACTTCCAAATTAGGGCAGCTTCCATTAAATGAATCTGAATGTATTAAAAGTACTGCATGTCCACAGTTAAATAAATAATGTTCCTTTAAGAAAAACGTGAATTGTTCCGACATCCGCCAGCAGGTGTCACTGCATTACTTAACAGAGGCAGAAACAGGCCCATGCTCTTTTTTACTTCTAAAAGTTTTTTTTTAATTTAAGAAAAAAAATAGATTGAAGTATAAAAATGTAATATCTATACATTATTAAATTTATTACAATTTCAAGCCAGTTCTTTGTTTTCTAAGAAATTCTAAAAGTCACATGTATGATCAAATATTTCACACAAATATGTTACTTTAATTTGTCATGTCTTTAGTATCATCAATTTGTTTGTATAGATATTAATAAATTATTTAAAATATTTTAATGACTGTTTTTTTTTTTACCAACTGACACTATTCAGGGCCAAAAATGTGTTGCAGATACATTTAAATACTTGTTTTGTTCAAAAATACATAAAATGATTTTCATATATAAAGACAAAAACAACAAATGCCATTTTCTACTGATTTTAAAAGTTTGCTTTAAAACTGATTGGATTAGCCATTTTTCATTGGATTAATCTCCCACTAAAGCTCAGAATAGATGAAATGACTAATGCAGATAATTATTGTGCTTTTTGGCCAGTCAGCGACACTCACAGTCCTTTCTGGGTCCGAGGTGGGCGTGACGTGGCGTATAGAGAGAAACTGCAGCTGTAACCACAGAAGAAGAACTAAACAGTAAAAAACTCATCCAGAAAAAAAACAAACCAAAAAAAGCCCCATTAAACATTCTGCAGCAGCGTTTCTCTCTCCTATCAGATTTGTCTGCAGGTGTAGGCTTTTAAATATTAGTGAAATCGTTCCTCTCTCACATATTATTGATCCGTTCTAGACCTTTCCTTCTCTGGAAAATGCTTCGCACAACTCTAAACACGTGCTGTGACGTGTTCTTCCCTTAAGGTCAACTGAGTTTATTCTAAAGAGCAATGCTGCGAAAGACAAATCACAATTCTTCAGTTAAACATTAACGAAATATTGTGAAAATGGTATTTTAAAAAAAGGGAAAGGTGTTTTTGGTGAAACCTGTTACAGTATAGATTTTATTGCACACAAAGGATGTTGAGAAAGCTAACAGATCAAAGATCATTGTGATAACATTGTAAGTAAAGCAACCGAACTAGTTAAGCCAGACAGAAAACCCTGACTACGCAGATTTCAGAGGAGCACAGATCTCACCTGTTAGTGTGTCTTCCCCAGGGGCTCGCCTGATAGGGGAAATACACAAATAAATACAAATAAGTACTAAAGCCCAGCTTGACTTTGACTTTACTCTGTGCCTGTGTGCACGTGTGTGGGTGTGGACACTTACAGGCTGCTGGCTTGGGCCGATTTGACCTGAATTCTTTCCTGGTAAAGAAAGCAGAACTTGTTAAACAGTTACAGGAACAGGTACAAATATAGTTCAGAGTTAATCTGCACAATATATGACTTTTTCCGATGGAAAGTACACGGACTAATCTTACCAGTACTGCAGCCCTGGGGTCATCATGTGTGAGGATGTCTTCAGCAGACACTCTGCTCCTGTCCTTCTTTGTCAGAGCTAAAGAAACACAACCAGTGACAAACAACCCGTATATTTCAAAAGACGTGAAACATTGATCACATTAATATACAGTCTGTTCAAAAGTATTCTGGAACAATGTTTGTCATTTTTCATCTGGCCATCTTCAAAGTGGATTTTAGTTCAAACAATCAGAACGTGATTGATTTCCAGCGAGCGATAGCGACGTTATCGGCCTCACGAAACTGTTCTTCAGTCAATTGTTCAGTTACCTTGAGCTTCTGAAAATAGGGGACGTTTGCTGCTTTGTTACCTTGGAAACTTGAGCTGGGAGTGACGTCATACCCAAGATGGCTGAGTTCTAGTATTTGCAGCTGTTTTTGTTTTGTTCCCCATCATTCAGCCATCACTACCATTACGTGCAGCATTTCCATCTTCCCACTTTCAATGTAACGCAGTATTTGTATAAAAACAGCTATAATTCCTCAACACTTAATGTACTACCTGAGTCACACTGAAACTGTGTGACACAATCACATTGTGTGGTGGTGTACAAAGGAAAACTTACAAAACTTCTGGACCCACTGCATGTTATAATTCATCGCCGTTTTGTGAACTTACTCGAGTCTGGATGAAGAAAGGCTGGGTTTCTGTCAAACTCAGTGAAGCCAGCATAAGAGTTGACTGCTCTGATGTGAGTGTGACCTTCGGGTTGAGCCTGGGGACGACACAAAAACACAGTGAGATTAAAAAACTAAAATAACAAAAACAAAAGCACACATGCAAAAAGTTGCGTGAAGGCAAACAGTTCTTAATCACAGATCTGTGGTGAATTTGACAGTTTAGCTGTAACAGGAAAGATTATTTCATACAACCGTTAAGTTAACCTAACAGAAATTTAGCATCCTGTTTACCCATCATGTTTTAATAAGTCAGCCATCTGTCACACACCAATTAACAAGTTACTGAATGACTCTTCCGGGTGTTTTTTTTGGGTTTTTTTGATTAGTCAGAACACGTATTTGCAAATTCAGGAAAAATGAGACCGGTTTGTTTTGCTGTGGTTTGGTTGTTTTTACATGCTTATTATGCAAACAGCCCAGTCAGTCATGTTAGGAGTCTACTTATGAAAATGTCTGCGGAGGTCTGACATTATGAGAAGAGAAATTTTAAAATAAATAAAATACACATCGGTATAGGTGACATACACACACCTGGGATTTGGTCTGTGGGGTCGGGCTTTGCTGTTTGCTGGAGGTGGGTGTTGCTTTGGCCAAAGAGTGCTGGAGTTCCTCACTGTCTTTATGTCCTGAACCAAGAAAACATCAAGTTATATTCCTATTACAAAATCTAATGCAACTGCTCAAATTAATTCAAATTAAGACAAACAAAAAAAAACCCATACACAGTCCCTGATTTAATGACACGACCAACCCCTTCATGGTGAAATAATCTCAGTTCAACATCTGATTCCTCACCCCGACCTGACAGACACAAATACCTTAAAATAATAGGGCTGTCCCGAATACAAGTTCTTTTGAGATCCGGGGGACACACATAATCACTAACTATTGTGAAATAGTGCCACATGCAGTGTAAAAATCTGTCTGGGTACAGCTGCTTGCTGGATGGTACAGAGAGAAAGAGAGATGTGGTTTACGCCGAGTAAAAATGCCCACTGATTTTTTTTTTTGTGGTTATAAAAAGCTGCTAAAACTTGCAACAATCTTAAAACAGTGAGGTGGTGAGCTGAAATGACGATCACTGCTGTTAACGAGAACTGTGAAAACCCATAATTTCCAGGCTTGTCTCTGATATATATACACACACATATATATTTATTTATTTATTTTGATGCCTATGCAACTAAATAAATCCGAATACTCAAATATTTGGGTGCAGCCCAAAAAAACAAAACAATACAAAACAAAAAACATTCATTGTTAACTTCAATAAGAAAACCAATCACCCACACTCGTGTGACTTAGGTGAAAACCACAGAACTACCCAAGAACAAGTCGGGCAAAAGGTCCAGACAGAGCAGAGAAAGGAAAGGAGAAGGTCCCCAGCCAAAGCACTACTGCACTCCTGATCTGGAGGTGGACAGCCCCAGCACCTGGCAAATGGAGCTCAGACTGAAACTCAAACCTCTTGCTGCATTTGGCCCACTCGCCAGGCTCCTCTTGTCATGATGACCTTCTGACCAACTCTGACCTTCATAGCAAGATGTTGCTTGTTCTGACACTCCCACTCTCTTTATCCACTTTCTGTGGGGTCTCCTGGATGCCACAGCAAACGTTTCAGTGCAGCCTGGCAGTCTATTATTTCCATAGCTGTCACCCAGTGGTGATGTTAACTCGGGGTCTGGAGAGAGTTCATCATCTGTATACCGTCTACTCAGATAGCCGGATCTGCCCTCGTCGTCACTGAATGCCTCGTTTACATATCCCAAATTGGAGTCCCACTCTCTCTCCCCCTTTGCTAACCCCTCTGTGTTCTCAGGCTTCACAGCGCAAGCAGGCAAGCAAACAGGCTGAGTAGAGCCAGAAGTCTTAGACACAATAACAACAGTAGGATAGAGACACACACACTTTTCATCCTCCTCTTTTATCTTCTCATCACCAGATTCAGCCTCATTCACATACTTACCCACAAATGCCCCAAACTCTACAGAGGTGCTGTCTGACTGTAGGGGGTGCTGGTAAAGCCCAGACAGAGCTAGTTCAGAGTGGCTGGAGCCACTGGGCTGGGAGGGGGTGCTGCTGATGTGGAACTGAACCCCAGGGGAGGGCACATTAGGCAGGCTGGATGGTGAGTCGGAAGAGCCCGGCTCTTGTGGACGGGTCTGCTTAGTCTGAGTGAGCGAGTGTCCTCGTTGACGCAGCTCTGAAGAGGAAATGGGCACAACACTTTGCTCAAAGGCCCTGCAGTCGGCACTGCTTGACGAGCCAACCTCTGCAGCGAGGTGTCCAAGCCCGAACAAGCCCCTCCTCTCTGGACTCAATGCTGGGTTCAGGGTGGGGTCCGGCCCCAATTCTGATGCAGGACTGGGCCCGATTCTCCGTCGGCTTTCTGTCCCAGCCCTTCGTTCTGCACCCATTCCAAACAGAGCATCTGCAATGGTAGCTCCTGTCTGGGGAAAAGAGGAGCCAAAGTAGGCACTGACACTGCTTTTTCCTTTCACAGATGATTTGGAGAGGGGGCCAGTGTCTGTCGACATGGGGGCAATGCTCGGGACCACATTCTTAGACAGACTGAGCTCCCGAGTGATCTGATTGTGGACCTTGCTGGCTTCTGATGCCCTCTGAACTGTGAGTGTCTTCAGAGTGTCCACGGTCAGGGCTGAGAGGTCCTGCAGGTGGCCAATCTGAGAGTCCAATGTGTGCAATGAGCGCTTTATAAAGTTCACCTTGTTTCCAACCTCCTTCAGCTGCAAGCACATGACCTCAACCCTGTAAATGACAAACAGCAGCTTTCATTACTTACAGAACAACCCAAATTACCTGTAACTTTCCTCATTCAATTCAAATCAATAAAACTGTTCAGATATTGTTATATTGTTTGTTGAATGTTGCCCTTTTCCCTTTTTGCTGAGTTTTTCCTCCTGTCCTTGAGCAAGTACTTCCATAACAGCCTTTTTATGTCCCTGAGATGACTCCTGTTATAATTTGGTGCTATATAAATAAAACTTAAGAAAATAGATTTCTTGTTTAATATTACTGGTACAATTTTCTGGGTGTTTATTAAAACAAATAAAGAAAAAGAAACTGCCATTTGTTTTAATACTTTGAAAACGTATCTTGCCTCTTGTGAAGGCCAACAGTGGTCTTACCTTTCTGAAGTAAGGCGTATGCGTTCCTCACTTCCCGAGTGAAACTGATCATCCTTCTCATGAAAGTACGTCTCCACACACTGCTCCTCAAAATCATGAAGCTTCTTTTGGTCTTCCTCTGTGAGAAACAGCTCTGGAAAAAAAAGAAGCAACAGCAACTTGTAACTGCTGTACATTTCTTTGATGACCACTTAAACTGCTTGTAATGAGTATAAAAAGTATACTTGGTCCGTAGATATTCTCCTTCTTCCTTTTTCTACACATACAGAAGAGGGAGTATATATGGCACAGTAGGATGAAGGGAGGTGGGAGGACAGGCTTCTCATGGTAGGCCATAATGAAGTGGTAACGCTGGTACTTCCACACCAGATTAGAAATGGACTTTACTTGCATATAGACATTGCTGGAAGCAGAGTTAAACATTTAACTGTCAACTGCATCAATGGCAAGATCAACAATGAAATCAGAAAGCAGTATCAGTAAATGGACAAAACCAATATGGAGGAATAGAAGTTTAAATGTTTACATAGCTCAAAACTGGGCAATGCTGAGGCTAAAAAGTACTTACTTGAAAAAGGCGATTAGGAGGTTGACCATCAATATGTACTGCACAAAGAGGTAGACTGCTTGTAGGAAAGGCGTCAGCCACACTCCTGCTGTGCACAGCGACTTCACCGATGGATCACTGTTGTTGGCACAAACTGTGAAGGAAAGAAGTCCATTAGGAGGGAGCAGGACAAACATCCACCAACCTTCTAATATTACAATGCACACACATGCAGGTTTAATTCATTGTCTTCTACAACTAACATTCAGAGATAAAGGAGGACAGCAAAGCTTCAACAGTGTGATGGAGATAAAAATGACTGGAAAAAAAATGCTCAAATGACTGCAGTCGTGTAACATTCTTCATAGTTTTGTATCAGACGTATTCATTTTATTTTTATTTCTACTGGCTACAGCTGTTTGAAACATCGTGAATTGATTCTTTAGCTGCCACAAGGTCATGATAACCTATGTGATCAATTTAGCAGCTTGTAAAATGTCAGCATACCAGCTCAGATTACGGAGGTTGGCCAAGTGTTTTGTTCCACCAAAGCTTCAAATGCACCCAACACAAATGATGACCACTTAAGCACTGCCTTTTAATCTAGACCATTAAGAGCCACATCAGGACAGTTGATGCTGTGGTGGAGCAAAATGTTCTGCCCTCCTAAAGTGACCTGTTCTGGTTGCCGCTGTTTGGGAACCATGTTGTGCCAAAGAGGTTGTGGGAGCAAACGATGATTAGGATATCGTGGGTTTGATTTCCAGTGCTTGTTTTGACTGATGATTAGCTGACATGCTGTGGTGAGAAGCTTTGAACAAAACTGCCCTTACCCTCCTAATCTCCCCTACCAAGCTCATCGTCCTTACCATCGATTTCATAGGCATATACTTCCCCATACATCATCCAGTACGGCTGAAAAACCACGTCTTTGGCCAGCGTCCAGCTTGGCTCCTCATTCGGATACAGAATAGCTTTCCTAGGTACTCCATAGCTCAGCAGGACTATAGCCATTATTACCACAATATAGAACATGTTGGCCACCTGCAAGTGCATCACATCAAGTCAATGGAAAACATGATGGATAAATAATAACCATATTAATTATCCATATATGAAAATATTAGACTGCTAAAAAAATTTTAGGGACTTTTTAGTATATATAGGTTACATCCGGGATTTAAAGTAAACTCGAATTTAAGTTTTTATATGAAACAAAAACAAGCTGATGCTTTTCCAGTTTTTAGTTTGGTTTAAAAAATTATTGATTTTAGCTAATAGTAGAAAATCTTTCCAAAGCTTGTACTGAAATCACCAGGATTATTAGTCTAATACATTTTTAAGCTGTTGAAATGCACATAATTAAACATATGTTGATTACATTCTGATTCAATTTTGCTTAATTTAAGAAGAAATCTAATAAATTAGGAAATATGTATTTGCTTTCTGGCTGAGTTGGAACACTAATACCACCAATACAACACTAATACCACTACTTTTAAATACCGTATATATAGTAGACTTTAGTCAAATATACATAATATTTATTTATTCAAATGCCAACTACATATAAAGCTCCAGCTAGCATAGTAAGCTTAACTAAAAACAAAACAAAACTGAAAACAAGCAAAATAATGTGTCTGGTTTTGTCCAAAGGTTTTTAAAAAAAAATCCATATATCAACACCTGGAATTGCACCAATTAGACTTCAAATTAAGTGTGATGCCACACAATCCCCTTTAAAAAAAATTCACTTTGCAATTAACAATGAAATTATTATTATTATAATAATTATTTATTTTTAAAGGGTGTCAGAATTTAAAGGAGCTGGTTGATGGACATGTTTAAGCTTTGGACAAAGCCAGGCTAATCAGTTTAGCTCAAGTAAGTGCTAAGCTAGCTCATAATCGTTTAGTCCCAGTAAGGAAGCGAATTTAGTGTTTCATCACAGAATGCCAAATAAAATGAACCAGCCTCAGAGTTTATCTCATCATTTCATCCAATATTATATTTAACTATACCATTGCATGTGATGTTATATTTTAATAGCACAATAAATGGTGAAACTAAATGCGGCAGTTTAGGATGACATAGTGCGGTACAATACCTGCAGATGGTGCTGTTTAAATATGAATTGAAAGTGATTAAAAAAGCGAAAATAAACATGGCATATTCATCAATACACAAAAGCCAGGAATCTCTGAGAGTTTGTTTAAATTATGAACAAACTTTAGAAACAAACTAAGAAAAAAAGAAGAAGTCAGATTTGCAGCTGGTGCTCCTTGCAGAGATGGGATAAGGAGAATTTGCAGCCAACAACCACACAGAAAGCATGGAGGTTCGAGGACAAGCCTTCTGACAAGCTATCAGGTCATTATCAGAGGCTGCTGAGAGAAGCAGCAAATTGGCTTTAGAAGACGCCGTCGTCCACCTGGGCTGCAGTATGTCTAACATGAGAGGTAAAAGTGGGAGTGGGGGTGGGGATGGGACACCTAGCATGCCAGGTACTATTGTTGAGGTTTCTGGGGTTTTCATGGGCCTCTAAAGGAGGATGCCCCTTGTTAACCAGCACAGCAAAGGTTTTGCAGGACTAAAACACTCAACCTGGGGCTTTAAGTAACTCAGTCTGCAGTTCTTCATTTCTGTTATGCAGAAACTATGTCTGACAGGCCCAGGAGCCTGGAGGCAATGTTTTCCCTTTTACATGAGATTCACTCTGCATGCCTCAAGTTGAATTTTCCTAGAACCACATACCAGACATTGTTGTACTTGTGGTACGAAAGTAAATTAAACAATCTCATCCTCAGTGTCACAAGTTGCTGTAAAATTTGTGTTCAAATGAATACTAAACTTAGAAAAGACTCACCATTTTGGCAATCATCATAACGTAGGGCCCAGCTTGTTGATTAACAGTCAGGAAATCCAGGAGTCGCACATACCAGAAGATGATGTTAAGACAATAAACCGTCCTCCCAGGGCCAAAGGCATCACCTCCGCCCAACCTCAGGCCACAACCAATAAAGAAGGTCACAATGGCCAGGAAGTCGGACACGTTGAAATATTCGCTGAACCACACCTTTATTTTCTGACTTATTTTGCCAGCCTCAGCCATAAACATCTAGAGAGTAAAAGCAGTAATAGAGAAGAGAAGTGAAATCAGAAAGACATTAAACAACAGTCAGTCCTCCAGAAAGAAGCTGTAATAATAAGCTAACCTCTGTGTATTCCTATGAAATGCAAACTCATTTTGGACAACGAACTTTTGGAGACTCATGCATCTGAAAAAGGAACACTTCTGATCCACGCACCTCTCTGATTTTCTCAATGGCAGCCGTAAAGATGTAGACGATGACCATCCACTCTTGAGGAGAAGGCCATGGAGGCATTTTCACCAGCACCACATATGTGTACAACATCAAGTAGCCCAAGTAGAAGAGCTGAATATGGGAGACAAATAAAGTAAGGTTCATTTTAAAAAAAGAAAAAGAAAAATTCCTCCCTCCCATCCCTCCTACATGTGAAACAATGCACAGCAGATTCTCTATAGTATATAAATCAGAGGGGACGGAAATGGAAAACGGCCCTGGCTTACAAAGAGCCCCTAATTCAGATAACTTCCTCAGTTAATTATTTTGAGATGAGGTCAGTTAAAGTCCTTCTAAAGGGTTGAACCTCATCACTTTGAGTTGGGAACAAATAGTCATGTCCCTGAAGTCTCTGGCCTCAGAGCTCAGCTGGTGGTTAGCCGTCTGAATAAATATTGTGAGAGAAATTCATCCCTCTCAGTCTCAAGTGAAACTCACAACTCTCAGTTCCCAGAAGGTATTAATGGGGCACTTTGGTGGATTACTTGATAAATGGAACAGAAAATGCTCAAACAATTGTTATTTTTATTAAAACCTGTTGAGTCAGTGCATTTAATATAAAACTGATTACTCACAGTGATAAATTGAAAAGTAAATACCTAACCATAAAGGCTTTAGGGCCTCTTACCAGCAGCACATTTACTGTAATATATTAACAACCCAATATTAGTCACAACTCCTGGGTTTAGTAGTTCATTTGCCCTCTTTGGACATGTGCAGAAGAGGGATCCCTGACATAATTGGCAGAGGATATTAAAAATAGAGCTGCCAAAGAGACGGTTCATCGATGTGGTAAAAGAGGCCATGCAGATGGCTGTTGTGTTAGAGGAGGATACAAGAAACAGGATGAGTGTGCCACCAAGAAACCAAACAAGGGGGTGTTTTTAATGTTTGGCAACAAAAGGTTTAAAAATGATGTTGATGAAGCAGGTCTTTAGGCAATAGAATGGTGGAAAAGGTACAGTTTATTTTGCAAACATTTTAATAAAATAAAATGTCAATGACACAAAGTTAAAAAAATAAAATAAAATAGAATGCAGCCTCAGTGGAAGCTGCCAACCCCCCCCGACTCTACTACTCAGTCCCCACACTTATGTCTTTCCCAGCCTCACATGGACCCTACCACTTAAGCGAGGAAACCACCAATATATAAATATAAATAATCATGACAATGATAATCCTCCGTTCTGGTAACACTTTAAATATGAGTACCTATATGACATATACTGTGCAGCCATATGTTCAAAGAAAGTCAATAACTACAGAAAACCCACTCTGTTGCTCTCCTCTACTGCTCCTATCATGCAAACTTGTCTTTACTACCCACCGACAACCAGGTGACCCACAGAAGGCAACAGGAAAACCAATCAAAACACTAAACTGCGTCCACCGAAAAAACTCCACCATCAAAAAGTAAACAAACTTGTGATCAAACACTGGGAAGGGTGAAAAGAGGAAAGGAGTGACTTAAATCCCAGTAAGATGGAGCGAGATGATCTTATAGTCACACAGGAGAAGATGATACAGAAGACTTTAAAGTACAACTGTCATACTAGTCTAAGGAGCTTGGAAAAAAGCAAAAAAAAGTCATTCACCCACTATTAATCATGAGCCTCATCACACAGTAGTAATATTCTTATAATAGCGAGTCAGTGACCCTCTTAAGGGACAATCTGCACTAAGGTTTAAATATCTGGGACTCTCCACCATTTGGTTTTAGAACTAAAGAAGCCTCTTGGATGAGATTTGCAATGTCTTCCAGAAACTTTAAGAAGTCCAGTCACTTTCTTTCCAAGCTCCTTAAACTACCATGACCTAAATGACTGAGAACCTACACAGACAAACTGTCGTACCATAACATCAAATTAGTCTTTAAACGTGTAATTTGTATCACATTACTATATTATTACTATTTGCTGAACATGTTTTCTTGTGCTGATGAATAAGTGTCAGATGCCTGATGTTTTTGTCGAGTCCAACTTTTTCTTTAGAGGCACCATGAGGCTGGCATGTGGTTTTAAGTAAATTTCTTCAACTTCTGCACAGCCAGATATTGTACAATTTTACACAGACACTCTGATAAAATAATAAACTCTGATATATATAATCAGACTCAGAAGACAGACAGACAGATAGATACATAGACAGATATAGATATATCTCAGATCAAATTTAAATTTGTCCAGCAGTTTGTTTTGTGGTTAAATAGTAACAAAACTTGAGACATTTCCAACCTCAGTTTCACTTTGTGTTCTATACCTAGCAACAACCATGAACAAACTAACACAGTAAACGAAGACAGTGAACATTATACCTGCTTAACATCAGCAGTGTCTGTGTCAGCAAGCTTAACTGTCAGCATTTCTGAAGAGACTTTGCCTCCACGCAAATATCATTCCATATCAAAATCAACTAAATCTGAGAACAGTTCCCACCTGACCCTAAACGAATCAGCCAGTTTTGATGTTTTAAGTAACATTATTTTTCTGCTATTTTTAAGTCACATAACTTTTTAAGCACAGGAGGGGTTCAGAAAGGAAGCAATGCCTAACTCTAGTGTTTCCCATCGTTACGCTGACTCTCAATTTAAGTTTGTATAAAATTGCTACTTAAGTAGTACAATTTTTTAAGTAGGTCAAACACACTGTAAACTGTGGGAAAGTCTTAAAATGTCCTCCCACACACACACACACACACACACACACACACACGTCCAGTTTCTTAGTGTAACGTTAATTAAGTCAGTTGTGAAAACTGTTGAACCTTGACATGTGAGGTGTGATCTGCTGGAAAAAATCAGCCATTATCCCACGGGTGATAGGCAAGTCAGCGGTGCAGTGATGCAGTAATGTGCTTAAACTCGGATGAAATCCGCTAAAGCAGATGTAGATAAGCGTAGGCAGAGGCTATATTCTGTAGGCTAGTGGGTTTTAGTGATGTATCAGTAACCAACAAAGATCAGTCCCAACCTAAGTTTCTGAGAACTAGTGTTGGGCAACAGTGAGAAAAATGCAAGAGAAAAGAAGAGCGTGAACCTGACAGTGCATGAGCGTATTTAAGAAAATATATTATAACATAATTTTCCTCAAGGAAAATTAGTAGAAGGACTCGTGCTGTCTGAAAGGTGCACCCCTTGCCTTCTGATTTGAACACACTTTCCTGCCCACTCTCTACTGTATTTTATTTAAAATAAAAAGTAACGATGTGGAGATGAAGGTGGTGCTTTGCCACTTGGGGACTGCCTAAACACAGGTAAAACAAAACCCACAACTGAATGATGAATACCAGATACGAGACAAGAAGAAGAAGAAAAAATATATATAAAGACCTCTTACCAATAATCTAGAACCATTAATTGTAAGTTTTATTGGATATTTTAGTGTGATTATGTTCCATAAGCTTTCATGTGGGTGAGATACTGTGAGATCAATCAGGGCTGCCCCTTGTACCTTCTACTGTCTCAATGGTGTTTGATTACCTCAAGTCGTTAAGTCTCGAGCAACACCTTTATTGCTTTACTGAATTTTTCCTAGACACGTATTGCTGGAGTTTTAACTTCTTCAGACTTTATCCCCTTCTCCATGCACCAAGGAGTAGATAAAGTTGTGGCAGAAACCTTTTGTATGTTATCTGATTCCCTGACACAAGGGTGCATGTTGGCTTTAGTTGAAGGATATTTGGCGACTAAATTTCTTAAGTGAAGCAATGCTGGCAAAAAGATAATTTAAGTGTCTGAGAAGATCTTAGTCAACTTGCTTTTCCATATATATCTATGCGCTTTCACTGTAATCTTCATACCGTATTGGACCAGAACTTGACAATAGGAGCATGATAGAAGGCATAGATTTTCCTGGTTAAAGGCAGCTTCCTGGAACGAACATGTGTCTCCATGTCACTTTTTGTCTCCACATGGTCATGGGATCTTGTCTCCTTAAACACATCCTGCAAAAAACATTAAACAGGCCCAAATTACACAGTGAGGAAAAAAGATTTAATTATCTAAATATTACAGTTTTCCCACTTTTCATTGTTATACATAGATACAGCCTTTAATACTGCTCAACTAGAACAAATTGACAGCTTTTCATTCATAAAGTCTGTCAAAACATTGGTGAATTCTAGAGTGCACACAAGACAAAGACAGTGTGTAAATCTAACCATTTGAATGTCTTCAGCTATGTTCTGGAAGTTGTGTTCGCTGTCCTCCATGGTCATCTGGTGGTCATCCTGACTCTGAGGAATGTGAGCCATCTCAGCCTTGGATTTGTACTCCAGCAGGAGGATGGCAGGAGGCACCAAGATACTCAGAATCACCTGCAGATACATGCAAACTCATGGGGGTGGGTACTGCTATATTTGTTGAGACAGTCCTTTGAATTACAAACACTGATGAAACCCATAATATTGCCATTTAAGAGAAAAACTAACCTGATGTGTGCACTGCCAATTTTGCTGCCAATTTTGCTGTTTTCACAAATGTAAATACTTTTCTGCTTTTCTATAGTGTGATTAATCACTACAGTGTAACTCAGCTTCATTAGCTGCTTAAGGTCTAACCTTGATTTCAGAGTATGACCTCCTTAAATAAATGCTTTATTCCCTAATGACTCACTTAACAGGATAGATTTTTGTTGACCATTTTTAAATAAAAAGGTACTGATAGCAATTTTTGTATATTAGATCTGCAAGCAAAGCTCTAAATATCACATGAAAATTATACCAGCTTTATCTTCTACCAAAATTAAAATCTAAATGGAACATGAACCTTGTACCAGGAGTTCTTGCGCATATTCAGTCGTCCCATCCACATGTCTGACAGCAGCATCTGGGTGCAGGTATGAGCCACAAATGGTCGTAGGTGAGACGAGACAGCCAACTTCAAACAGGTGGAGTTGCTCCAGTTCTTTAGCTCATAAGTCAGAAGCTTCATGGCCATAGTCTCATCCTGCCTGAATGACTGCTCCAGCAGGTCTACTGCCAACCTCCCAAACTCACTGTGATACAACCCGCACGATTATTTCACTCCTGATATATAAAAAGAATATTTCACTCATATCTGAAACTTATCAAAAGTCATAGAAAATCTTACTTTGAGTACTCCTTTAGCTCCTCTGAGGTGTCATCCACTACATCGCTCTTCTTGGCCTCATAGCTCATAGACCGGCATAGTTTGCAGGCCACCAGTGCCTTTGCCATGTTTTCTTCTCCATGCTGCCAGAGGAAGAGTGACATTTTCTGCCTTTTCATCAGCACAGCCCAGACCAGGAGCTCATTAAAAGGGTAGGGGAAACGCCGCGTCTCTGGGTCGTCAATGTCCACAATCTCTTCTTTGCTTCTCTTTTGTTTCTGCTCGGTGGAAGACTCGAGCTGAGAAGTGAAATGAACAATGGGGGGTTAAGAAGGAGACAGACCTTACTTTCAACAATGGTTCCAGATATGCAGAGGCTTTAATTCACCACAGCCTTTTAGGCATGTTTACCTTGGGTTTGTACGGTTGCGCAGTCTTGATAAAGTGGTTGTGCCTTGTCTTCTCCTTCTTGTCAGCCTGCATGCTAAAAGACTCATGACTTTTTCTTAAACCAGGACCTGCTGTATGGCGCCCAGACCTCTGTGCAAAAACATGAACCCATATTCACGTTTAGTAGACTACTTGTTCATAACAAATATAATTATACATATTAAAGCCCAAAATATGTCAACCAGCAATGTCACCAACATGTTTTGTTGACAATTTTTGCTTGTTAGCTTGGCAAGATAAAAAACAAAAATATTGGCCTAAATCCATCCATCCATTTTCTGCTGCATATGTGAGAATGGGCTGCAAGGATAGCAGTCTAATTAAATAAACCAAGATCTCCCCTCTCATCCGCCACCTCCTCCACTTCATCTGGGGCGTCAGAGAGGTGCTCCCAAGCAAGCTGAGAAACAGTCTATCCAGTGCGTCCTGGGCCTGACCTGTAGGAAACAACCTACAAAACACCTCACGTCCAGGATGCTTCCTTGTCAGATGCCCAAATCACCTCAACAGGGTCTTTTTGATGTGGAAGAGTAGTGTCTCTACTCTGAGCCCCTCCTGAATGGCCGGGCCCTCACCCTAGCTCTAAGGGAAAGCCGAACACCTTTGAGAAGAAGCTCATTTCTGCCACTTGTATCTGCTGCAAACTAATTTTCTGGTCACTTCCCAAGGCTTCTGACCATAGTTGAGGATTTCACCGAGCTCCTCCCACACCACAGCTTTTGCTTCAGTTACTCCTAGAGACAGAGTTCACTTCGCCAGTCAGTACCTGTTAGCCGCATCTACGGCATTACAAGCAAACCCAAGCTAAACAATTCTATAACCTGAACGTTCTGTTCACCTCTGGTATCCAATATCTTGTTTTGGGGTTATCAAGACACCTTGTGGCCATAGCTCCATATAGCAGCTTCAGCAATGGAGGTGCGAAACATGGTCCACGATTCTCGATCTCCCCAGCCATCTTTGGATTGCTAAGGTAGGAACTGAAGTTTTTGCAAATCAGGGCCTCCATAAGACACTCCCAATGCACCCTCACTAGACATTTGGGTATGCCAGGTCTGTCCAGCACTGATGGCTAAAAGTTAAAATAAAATACAAAGTGGAAGAATTTTATGACACATTAAAAATATCAGCCGTTTCTCACCCTACTATTTCCATGAAGATTGTTGTAAATGATTCGAAAGCGTTTCCTGGTGTAGTTGCACCTGTAAGTCCCGCCCATCAGGTACTCAATAACCAGGCCAACGTCAATCAAAGTGATTTTATAGTTTGGAGGCAGATGGCTCTGTAAAAAGGTACAATAAACATAGATTAAGAGGATTACACTAAATATCAGGAAAAAAAGATTGTGTAAATTGATAGTAAATGAAGTAATTACCTGTTTGACATCTCTAACAAGGTGAAGAAGAGTTGGGTTGTTGGGAGGTTGCTTCTACAATATAAAAAAAAAAAATACAAACACCACACATTTAAAATGACATCTTTTATACCCATCACCTCTCTCATTAAGTGGCTATAACATGACATAGGATGGTACCGTGTTGTAGAGCTCCTCGAGCCGACTGATTGTCAGGAAACGGTGCATGCTCACTCCATTCTCTATGAGCAGCTTAACAAAGTCCACCCTGTCCATTACAAGTGCATCCAACATTGCTTGTTCCAAAGAGCTCACCTTCACACACAAAAATACACATGTTGGTATGAAGCATTCTCTTATAGAAAATATCTATAAAACAAAATTAAGAAGACCAAAAAAAAAACAAAACAAAAAAAACCAAACAAAAAAAAAACCCCAAATACAAATAAAAATAATATTATCCACTCTCTTATTTACACAAGAGCCAGAAGTCCTCCAGTTTTAAAATAAAAAAAGGCACTGAGGCCTGCTTATGAAGACAACTGTAATAAGGTTCACGTTACAGTTAAGACAAGTAATTCGTGGCAGCCTGCCCAAACAGTCTCCTGGGTCTTCAGACTACAAACTGTGGTCAACAACAATTCTGGGGTTATTTTGGGTGAGTGCAAAGGTTTGTAGCTAATGCTGAGCTAAGCAAACATTCCTGGGAGTTGTGGCTCACACACACACAAACAAACATGCAGACATACCAGGAGCTGCTGTCCGTACACAAACACATGATTCTTGGCAATGTCTACACGGTCCCAGGCCAAAGTCAGGACCAGCTGATCGAAGGCAGATGCGTTTGTGCCTGAAACACACAGGTAAAGCTATGTATAAACACACAGAAACACATTACTTCACAGGCAACTAAAGCCTTATTAACTGTGTATTTCCTGTTAGCCAACACACAGGATTAGAGGGCATTAGCAGAGCATGTCCAGCACAGTAATACAGTCAATTACACACTAATACAGCTACAGAGCAGATTAGACTACAAAGTAGATCCCGCTCAGTCCACTGGTCTCTTCTACACTAATCTACCTGATTGTACTTTAGGAGCCATCTGAATCGAATGGTCATGACCACAGTACACAGAATTTATGCTGTCTGGATGTAAAAAAGGAAAGTAAGTTCTTCAATCTGAGGTCATTTTCCCTGATCTTTTTGTTTGCGTCTCATTTTACCTGCAAATGGAAAGTGAAAAAGGAAGCAAATGTGCAAAAATAACTCTTACTTTTTCAGGCTTCCATCAAGTAATTAGTCTAATCTGCACAGGTTTCTGGATGGAACCATTTACACTCTTATGCTACGTTTGATTGAAATTAGTGTTTAGGTTAAAAAAACCCCAAACAAACAAAGGAAGAATGGTGCCCATTAAATATATGTATAAGAGACAATCTATATCTCATTAGAAAACTCAAGGATCTCTGAAGAAACCCCAATATTTTTTAAAAGCAAAAAAGTGGTTGCACCCCAGGATCTTTTTAAGGGTGAGCTAGTATTGTACTATGAAAACAGCACCTGAGACTGACAAATATTTGCCTAAGTGGATATTTAAGCCACAGCCCTCAACTTTTATCTTCTGAACATACTTAACCCCATTCACGTGTTTTGTTAAGAGAAAAAGACTGCTTGCGTTTTAATTTAACAACATTTTAACTATATTATTCTCCTATACAATTTTACAATAAAAAGATTCAAAGAATAATGGCAGGACATAATAAAAAGTTTTTTTACATAGGATACAGAGAAGGGTGGGATACAGCTGTGAGAGACAGAGCTCAGTGATTGTTGGAATAAGGAGGCCATGTGAATGTGAGCAACATGATCTCCTCAGAGCTGAAAGAAAAGGGCACACTGGGGGGAACTAGGTTCTCAAAGCATATCTATATCAGAAAAACAACATTACCAAGTCTTGAAATCTTAACCTTCAAATGCCAATGGCTATAGTGTATGAACAAACTGAATCAACTTTACATGACTTTCTTTTTTGGCTCCTTTATTAAAGAAAATGAGAGGATAAAAGGTTCAGAGAAAATGAATCCACTAACCTTGGAGTAAGGCCCTTAGAATGGCTACATCAATATCTTGATGTTCCTCAGAACTGATGTGAAACACAGTGATCTTTAAAAAAAAAACAAACAACACAAAAAACACTTATAATAAGGCTCCCACAGACATTATCCACATGGTTGAAGCTGAAATCATAACAACCCCCCCCCCCCCCAAAAAATCCACTATTTAGAAAAATCAGCAGTTGTCACCAATATGCAAGAAGGCAGATTTTACATCCACAATTTTGTTGTTACAATGACAATAAAAAGCTATTCTTTTCTAATCTATTCTATAACATTACATCCACAGTCGTCTCTGCATTAGTGTGCTGTTTGGCTCAGGAGGTTAAGAGGATTTCAATCAGGTAGAGGTAACAGAGAAGTGTATCAGAAGAGATGTGAAATATAATACAATTTGCACCAGCATTTGTGCTCATTATCTCTCTCAATCCATCTCTACAAAGAAACACAAAATCCTTATTTTTAGGCTCAAATAACCTTCTCTTCTCTTATGTCTTTATTGTCCAGTACCAATCAAAATCTATAAGTGTAATTACAAATAAAGGTCTCGATGTCCTACTTTTATTTTATTTTATTTCTTAATTATGAAAGTAAAAACTTTTACTGATTTAGATCAATTTTAAGTAAAACTGTGCAATTGCCAAAAATTAGATTCAATTCTATTTTTTTCATAGCTGTTGGAAGACATATGATTCTGATATGGATTAATTGTTATGCCTTTTGTCTTTCTTTTCCTGGAGAGTGCTTCTGCTCTTCTCTTTAACCTCAGTTGTAATTCATCTCAGTCCAACAGTTTTGAAACCAATTCTGCTATTTAGGAAGACTCGTGTTTAAAAAAAATGTAAGATCTATCAAAAGTTGAGTTTTATCGCAGTTTTAAGGATATCAAAATGTAAACAAACAGAACGAAAGAAGAACAAAATACAAGGTTATACGCCACAAATTACTGGTAAGGTTATGCTTTTGCTTGCATCTCCCAAACCCTTCCTCGGTGGTGTGTCTTTCTGTCAAGGTAAAGTTTCAGCTTTGTTTGTGTGGGGAGGCCCATGGTATCATACTTTGAAAACCCCCTGTTTAGGTTGAAATCTAAACCACCTTCTTTCACAATTTCTGGTGCTTTTAGTTTTTATACATTTCTGTTTAGTCCCTCTGAACTTCCCAAATCACTGTCACTGTGGGAGAAAATGAGTGAATATAAATAAGAATTAAGAGCAACTAAATGTGATTAAGAAAGTGAAAGTTTACCAGTTCTTTGCTCTTCATGCACTCCATCAGAGTCTGAAAGAGATGGATTGCTTCACCTTGGCTGAAGTTGAAGGTTTTCTTGATGGTTGCAATAATGTCTGTTTCCACTCCATCAGGGAGGCCGCTGTGGAAAAGTTAAACTGCTAAAATACACAGCTATAAAATGCTTTATGGGTTTGATTCCATCATATTACCCATATAACACTTGTTTAGCAATATTAATATGATTGTGTTTTAGGGTTGCATGAAGTTCTAGACTAGTACTGGTGAAAGAAGGAACAATTTATCCAAAGAGCTACACAAATGTCTTGTCTTAATGTTGTGATACACTACTCCTTTAGTCCTAGGAAAACAAATAGATCCTTAATAATGAATAAACTAAAGATGAACCTTTTCAGCCATATTTTTATGCTTTGAATGCACTCCAGTGGCACTGCATGATAAAAAATACTTTTTCAGTCCTATACTTCGCCTTGGAGCAACCCCTTATTTCATCCTAGTGTTTCTCAAACTGTGGGGCAGATCCCACTGGTGGATCACAGAGAGGCAAGTGTAAAATATGAAGTAAACTATGACTTTTTAATTTTAAGGGAAAATGAGAAACACTCGTTTTAAATCGTCTCAGGAGCTCGTCTCTGCTTTTACGATTGATATGGTTCTGTTTGGTTTATCAAATGGTGACCAGGTTGAACTGAAGCCCAAATGGGAGATTTAAAGTATATTTGGGCCCTGTTCATAAGGGGAGAGAGGAGCAAAGAGATTTATAGACAGAGTGGTGCTGCGTCTGCAATAATGTAAATGCTGTACTGGTGTGCCATGGTGACAAGAAAGCTGTGCATGAAAGTGAAGCTGTTAATTTACTGGCCCTTCTACATTCCCATCTTAAGAAATAACATTTCCTGTTCCAATAACATAAATAATAAGCTTAAACACCATGTTTAAATACTGCAGTTCTACAATCACTTCATGTATTTTAATACTATTTTGCAAATGTCTTTTTTTCTTTATTTTATTACATATTCTACCTCATATACTCAATTTAATTTCACTTCAAATCATCAAACAAGTCCTATTCTTATTGTAAAACCCAATGCTACTGACATATACATATCTCTTGTGTTTCATAAAAATTCCTGAATGTTTGTGTGAACGGAGCTATTTACAAGTCGGAAATAGATGTCAGAAATAAATAAAAGCCACAAAAAGTATTGTTATCAAAACAAAGTTAAAAGAAAGACAAAAAGGAAGGAAAAATTGTGTCAATTAAAGCAGCAAATTATTTAGCAATAACAGTATCATGATTCAGAAATAGTCTCACTTAGACAACTTTGAAGATTTTAAATGCACACTGGAAGTTAGAGCTGGGCGATAGAACGATAACGATATGTATCGCGATATAACTTTTTCTCGATAGAAAAATTAAACTATTGCGATAGACCTCGCCGCTCTTGTCCTCTTAAAAAAAAAAAAAAGAAAAAAAAAAAAGAACAGCCAATCCAAATTACGTAGCGCAGAGCCGAACCAATCACAGCCGCAGCGTCACGTCACGTGACTTGTTACGTACAGCACAAGTGCCAAGCCGCACATGTGTATTTGTTTGGGAAGCAGCCAGCCACCGTACCGCCCGGGTAATGGAGGAAATGAGTGTGCCGACTAGAAAAATCAACCGAGCGTGACCGAAGGTTACCGAAGAGAAAACAGATGATGGTTCCAATGCCGGAGAGATTGTCGAACGGAAGAGCCATAGAAGTTCCGTAGTGTGAAGGTATTTCGGCTATTTCAAGTCTGACAAAAAACAGAGTAGCGTGCACTGTAAATTGTGCCGAAAGCAAGTCTGGAAATACAATAAACTGGTGCATGTGCTACGTCCACACGTACCCGGGTATTTTTGAAAACGCAGATTTTTCTATGCGTTTGCACCTTTCGTCCACACGTAAACGGCGTTTTTGGTCACTGAAAACGAAGATTTTTGAAAACTCCGTTTTTGCATTTACGTGTGGACTAGAAAAACGGAGAAAACGCAGCGTCAAAGGTGTGCGCATTTTTTGACGTCACACTGTGCGCCACGTTATTGTTTCGGTGAAATTAATTTCTACAATACTGTTACTGTTAATTCTACTCTCTGCAGTGTTTAAATGCTTACATATACACACAGTTACTGTCCCTCCACACATACGACTCGGTTCTGCTTCTATGCCCCAGCTTTGTTTACTTTTTCCCACCGAGGCTTCTAGACTTCTGATTGGCCAACATTTCTGCACGGTTAGGAATCTAGCGCCACCTGCTGCTTTGGCATGTTCATAGCAGCGTTTTCCTTCATTTCTGCCTTTATGTGTGGACGGGATTATTTTTTAAAACGAAAACGGAAAATCTCCGTTTTCAAAAATACCCGTGTACGTGTGGACGTAGCCTCAGTCTCTGACTGGAAGCGCTAATTCGTCATTCGGCTTTTGTCAGACTAAAGTAACTGTTAAAACTGTTTGAAAAGCTAAGCTATACAACAAGGAGAGATTGAGAATTTCCTTTTAGTTCTCAGTTTATTTGATATTGACAAAAGTTAGTCAGTTTTGTCTGTTCTTCTGTAAAACAAACTAAGATTTATTTTTAGAATTAATATTTTGTTTCTAAGTGGAATTGACAATTTAGTCTGTTTCGTTTGTTCTATTTTGAAACTTAAACGCTTTAGCGGCTGCCTTTTGTGTAGTTTGCAATATTTGCCTTTATTTATCTGAAAAAGTCTCATGTTCCTTAAGTACATCTACCCTGTTGAACTTATTATGGGAAATAAATATTTAAATAAAAACAAGCTGCTGATTATTTCACATTTTACTTGTGAGCAACGGCACATTTAAATCTTACAAATATAGTTATTTGGCTTATATCGTGATAGATATCGTTATCGCCTGAAATGAAAAAAACATATTGTGATATGAAAAAAATCTTATATCGCCCAGCTCTACTGGAAGTTTTAATAAAATGACTGAAATCCTTCAACTTTCTTTGGTTGCATATAGGGTTCCTCAGCATTTGCGGTTTACTGTTAAGTTTTGCTTTTCATATCTAAAATTTAAGTTGAAAGTTTAATTTTTATCCAGTAAATTCTACTGTTGGCAAATTTTGGTTGTTTTCATGGCATCAGTGAATGTTCATCCTACCCGCCCTCCTCGGTTTGCTTGTGGACGTAGGCCAATATGTCAGCAGCTCTGCCGGTCCCCTCACACACCACCACTGGGACAGGAGGACTCTCCTGAAGGTACTCCAGCACAGTCAGGATCACATTGGGACCACCCTCAAAGATCAAGGCTACGACAGGAACCCCTTGACCAATTCCTTGGGGGAAAAAAACAAAAATAAATAATGAATATGCATCAGATAATTATGTTACTTAAAATAACTCCCCTTTATTTCAATTTGATTTGAGTGAAACAACTTCAAAAGACTGACAGTTTTACAGGTACTGACATGATATTTGCAAAGAAAATTTAAGAATTTTCTTTTGTTTTTACAGTTTAGAGTCCATTCATTATCTTCCGTGGGGGCTGGAACCTAACAAAGCCTATCCCAACTACCGTAGGGTGAATTTTACCTAAACTAAAAACATTTCCAGGTTCCATTTGATCTCATATTTTGTCAAAATGAACACAAACAATATTCTTGTGTGCTGAGCAAAGCACAAAACAACAAGGAAGATGTGGAAAAAATTTTGAATTTAAAAATTTGCCCTCAAAGAGCAAGTTTCGGATTACTTTAATTGCTTAAAGGACATTTGGAAATTAATAAAAAACTATCTAAGCAAGATTAGAGTGGAAAGTGAGGATCCTGTGATATATGACATGAAAGAAGCCAGCAGGCTTGATCAGGCAGAAACAGGGAAAGAAGCATTGAATTTTGATATCATATCGTGATTGAAGAATAATTATGTTGTTTATTTGATCATTTATTCTTGGCCGACACTGATCTCAAACAAAAAAAGAAAAAACCCAAAACTCTTCTCCCTCTGGGAATGCCTACGCAAATTGGGAAGGTGGAGAAAGACAACTTAAGAAGTCACCAACACTGCGGTCAGACTGATTGCAATCTGTCACTAAACACAAAAAAATTTTAGGCCCACGTCCTTCACCCTAACAATGAACTCAAAGAGCATAATTGTAACAACTGTAATATTTTATGATTTATAATTATCAGGGGTAAAGGTCTTTACACATTTACTATTGCAGAACGACACAAAAAATTTAAAACGCTTCACGAATTTGCGTGTCATCCTTGCGCAGGGGCCATGCTAATCTTCTCTGTATCGTATCCAATTTAGCGTACGCGCTTGCCGAAGCAAGCACGCTTACCATCAGGCGGGGCTTGCTATATATCAGCCTGCTGGAACACGCCGCACCTTATCGCGGTGCCCCCTGCATAGCTGCAGGCTCTCGTAACCAAGGCATTTAAATATGCATTTATACATTTGGAATTGATACATTTACTCTTGCTGAACTCGACACAAGAAAGATCAACACCAACTGCTGACAAATTCTTGTCAAATTACTCAAAAAGAACAAATACAGAATAAAAGGGGGAGGAGCCCAAACCGCTCTCAGGCCACATAGTTAACTCGTACCTCGAGGCCAAGTGGCCAATCACAGCCTAGCAAACGACAACTCTGTCAATGTAGAAGGGAAAACAAAACAAAAGACCCAGCATTTGACTGCTGAATGAGCTCCAGGTTGACCCATACCGCGTCAACGCGTTCATGTAATAGCTGGAAGCCAGAAAAGCACGGCAAGAAGTGCTCAGAGAGAAAAATTTGGAACGCTTCACGAATTTGCGTGTCATCCTTGCGCAG